AAATATTTCGTGTCTTCATATTTTAAATTTTTAAAAAATATAACTTTGTCACGTTAGAGACATGTGTCCACTGAGTGGTGGATTCTCGGGATCAGAGTTACAAATATAGATATGTGAAGTTACACACATATATCTGCATTAAAGTGATCTATATACAAGACACAATAATAATCAGTGACTATATAAAAGATCTAATGATTATGGTGCTCCACTACAAGTAGGAGTTTCAGTCTCTGTGCCTTATCTATATAGCAATTTACGACAGATAAATAACTACTAATTAAATAGAATATTGATACAGGCGACGTTCTACCTGTATTACATCGTTTCATTTTATAAATAAAATTCTAGAATAATGTTCCCCTCTCCGCCTGTCGTAAGAAGCGACTACAATCCCCCAGTGCCAGTCTGGCACTTATGCAAGAAGTGCAAATGGTAGTGAAATGTGGGCGGCAACTTGCGACATCTAACCAGAGATGATGCTATCTGGTACTTCGGGGGTCAGTGGCCCGGCAGCTTCGGCTGCATTGACCATTGGTGTTGGCTTCGAAGTGGATGTTTGAAAATGAATATAAAATCAAAGTAGCAGAAAGTTGACAAAGGAGCCAACTTATCAGAATGAACCTTTTCAGTAAGCAATGGGAAGTATCCTCATATAGTTTTAAGCATGTTCTTAAAATTGTCTAAGTCAGATAACTGAAATATTAAAAGTATATCCAAAATTTTGAAGATAGGTATAAATTGTGTATAGAATTTTTTTTAATTTAATTTAAATGTAATCAAATTTATTTTGTAGTTAACAACTGTTTGTTAATATTTTGATATCATAATTTTTTTTGTATATTGAGTTTGTATATCTGAGTTCCATACCTATATTAAAATATTTGTTTATAGTGGGTCACAAGTTTAAACAATTATTATGTGTAGTGAAAAGTTAAAAAATAAAATAAACAAAATTTATGAGACAGTCGAGTAAGAAATTTGAAGATGTTTGATCAAGTCAAGTTCTAAAAAATACATGATTGCAAACAAAGAACAGTGTTTGTTTAACGAATATAATTTCCTCTGATAAGAAAAGCTATTCAGTTTGGCAAAAAATTAATAACCAAATCTTGCGGTGTCTTAAAATAAAAAAAATATAAAAAAAAAGTTTCAACATTTATGCCAGAACTCCAAACTATATTCACCTCTAAAGGTGAATATATAAAACGATATAAAGAGGTGGTTCACCATTTAAAAATCTAGAAACAAACGACAAATGGGGAATATAAATGTCAGTCATAAATGAATGAGATGACCACATCTGTACAGAATAAAATTATTTTTTTTTAATGAATCTGGTCACAATCCTAACAAACTACTATTATAAAAATCAGAAATATAAATAAAGTACTGCGATCTTGATAGATATCTTACGCAACAGATAACTATCTAAGCAAAGAAAAGGTAGGTATTTTGCTTGTCGAACGATAAGCAAAGTATATTTAATTAAAAAGGGTTTAATTACCGACATGTACGAAAAATTGTGCTAAATTATACTACTTCGAAAATAGAGCAATACGCACACTACGTCAACACTATTGGATTTCATTAGAAAGGAAAAGTCTATTAAATCCAACAATCATACCGTGAAGAGATTGTAGCCCAAATTAATGTATCTTTTCATGCAACCTGCCAATCTCAGTTCTGTATTGCTCAGAGATATTGGCGTTTGGAATGATATAGTATTTTGAGTATGTAATAAAACTTAATATATACAAAAATGTTAAAGGCATTTATTTTTCAATTGATAATATTTTAATGTGCCGATTATGTGTTTAATGCTTTTGTCTACTTTTATATAAATTGTTAAATTTTATGCAATACAGATGAGATGGATTATTGAAGTAGTTGAACTTTCGATAACCACAATTTAGAGAAAGTTAAAATATCATGCGAATATCATAGATGAATCATTTTTGAGCAAGCAAATTTTTTTATAAGGTTAATTATGTAGAGAGTTTTTTTAGTAGCAGTGAATAACAATACAAAATTTAATTTTTCACTAATTGAAATTTATTTTTAATTAATTCAATTTTATTTTTAATTAAATTAATTTTCTTTATTAACCATATCGCTATTCTTTGATTTTATAAGTCTAAAATTGATGGACTATAAGAATTTTCGGAATCAGATTAAAAATTTTGAACCTATCAAAGTAGAAGCAATAACTTTACGTTTTAAGCCTTTTGTTATTTCTTTTGGAAGAAAAATGATAATCATTTTTTGGGTTTTTGGAAGAACTTAATCCATTTTGGTTAAATACTTCTTTAACAAATAAAAATCTGGTGAAAATGATATAATTTGTAAATTTAAAACTATGCAGACCTAAGTGGTTTATTCCGCAAGATATATAATATATAAAAATTATAGTCAGGAACAATCGATGAACAAGTAACCGAACAATCAATGACCAAGTGAAAATCATAGCTGTTATCACGGTTTCATTCGTTGTAATAGAGGCGAAGAACTAAGCATACTTTTTACATAGAATTGCTAAAATAGGTAATTATTAATTTATATATATTTAATAATAATAATGGAAATAGAATTTTTATAGCGAACACTAATTCTATATATCTCGTCATTCCCTTTTTGTATTATTCTTTATTAATTTCAATCTAGTTTATAAAAACACTAACAGCAACCGGAATAATACGAAAGCTAATAGTTTATACAGAAGGCCAATTGCTGACTTCTTAAACTCAAAAAAAGTGACCTGTCTGGGGTACAATAAAAACAAATCCAGATAAACTGACAATAAAACGAAAATAGCGACGATGAATGGAAGAACCAAAGTCAGGTTATGAATCCAAGCACTAAAAACGAAAATAACTATAATGAATGAAAAACCCAATTTCAACATATGCTTCCAAACCACTAAGAAAAAAAATAGCGGCAATAAATAAAGAAACCAAATATCAGTCCATAGCCAGTAATCAGTCCAAGCCACTAAAAACGAAAATAACTTTAATGAATGAAAGACCCAATCTCAACACAACATATGCGTTCAGCTACTAAGAAAGTAAATACCTGTACTGAATGAAAGAATCATTTTCAACATATAACTAGAGAGAGCTACAACCTAATCATATGTAATTCATTAAAATATGATATGAGATTTAAATTTAAAGTCAAAGCTCTTAAGCCATACGATCGCATTATTTCAAGCATTTTGTCATATAAGAAGTCGAAATTGAGCAGCATTAGAAAAATAGATATTTCTAATGAACTATCTAATATCTATTGGATATTACTTATGTCGGTAGATCCTTATTAATGCACTGTCAAAATTTTATTTATATATTTGAGATTTTGAGAAATAGAATATGTTTGTGTTATCAGTACATAAATTAAAAACGAAGTAAGAAACTTTTGTCACAACCGTGTACAGTAATCCCCCCTATAACGCGGTATCCTTATAAAGCGTTTTCATATTACGCGATTTAAATACCCCATATAACACTGGCATTCCCCCCATAACGTGGGGATTTATACACTACATAATTAGCTTCGCGTACCTTTGCACATGTGTGTACGAAGTATATATAACGCGGAATTAATCTACCGCGTTATAGGGGGGTTTACTGTAATATTATTACCGAAACATTTCAATTGATAAAACAATTTATAACAATAATTATTTCATTCATGTCAGTGGTTATGAACGATGAACGTGATTTAAATCGATTATGGCAGGGCATAGATGATGAGCAACATATTGACCAACCAAAATCCTTCCTCATTATGAATATTGGAAACTATGACTATGTGTGAGTTGGTTAAAAATCAGATAAAATCTTCAATGGAATTTATAAAATTAAAATATTTAATAATCGCATTTTGAACGAACATTTGTATGAAAACTACTTCCCCATCGATTCATATCCTTCAATGAAATCGATGTTTTTATTGTTAGCTATTATTTACTTGAGTTGGCAAAACTAGTTCAACTTTTATCGTTTCGGAAAAGTGCATTCGTTGATGTCTTATAAACATAAGATGTCATTTAAGATGTCATTTTAGACACATTAACTTCGTTTCGTTTTTCATCCAAATATAGGACACAAAAATAGGAGTTAACAAAACTAGTTCAACTTTTATCGTTTCGGAAAAGTGCATTTGTCGTTGAAAGAAGTGCCTAATTAACGTGGAATTCATCCAAAACCGTTATACCAACATATTGAAAGATGTCATTTCAGACACAATAACTTCGTTTCGTTATTCATCCAAATATAGGACGCAAAAATAGGTTCTATCTTTTCGAAACATGTTATCGCCAAAAAGTTGACTTATATAGAAATTAAAATAATTTTAAAAAAATTTATTTACTTTAGAATGTAAATATATAGTCACAACACTAACTACTAAAAGTATATGGCAAAAAGTGTTTCTTCACACTAGTAACCACAACCTAACCAGTTTAGTTTTTAGTTTATTTTGTGGAAACTAGGACTACAGATAACAATTTTTAACGAAAAGATAGCAATATCAAGTTTTCAATAAGTCACATTTCAAGCAATTTTCAATGGACTAGTAAACAACTGTGTTTTGGATAAGCATCGTTAAGCACAATTCCATTAACCCAAACGTTTATGGGAGAATTACTTGAAGCAACAAAATAATTTTAGCATTTAATATTTTTAATTAACATAGTTCCGCACTCGGCGCTCAAAGCAGATCGGAAACAACTGTTTTAGTAATGCTGATTCATAATACAAGTGGAAATTATCAATGAAGATAAAAATAACAAAAAAGAAACAATAAGAAATAAAACTAGACTATAAAAATTTATTTTCTACTCCTTTTGTGACAAATAAACTCAATTCATAAAAAGGAAAGGCAACGCCTTACACTTATGTGAACACATCAACTTAATATTATTAAACTGAATGAAGTTGAGATTTTTCAGCCCCACCTTACCTTACCAAATCGATAGTTGTATACGTCAAAACTCTCACCTTTTATTAAACGCAGTCAAGATTTTGCAGATTCTGATGCAGTGCTGCAGCAGTGCTGTCGTCGCAATCTTTTTCACCGTTTCGTCGCAAAGCCGCCCACTAACTCCCTTTTGATTAAATCACAATTTGCAACACTTTCTTATTATTCACTTAAAACTTTTGAGATTTAGCAGGTGCTACCAGCTGAACCCCACATCTTGTTAATGTTGATTACTAATTTGCAAATATCAATTTATTTTCATATATTTGTGTACGTTTATGTACACATTTTTTTTTTAAATGCAAAGACCTTTTAAGATTATTATTACTAATGTGAAAATATATTTCAACAAATAAATCACAATTTTCACTACTTTTTAAAATTAAATACTATGGTTTTATTATTCACTATTTTTACTTATATTATTTTGAAACAAGTTCGTATTTTTGCTGTCGTCTTCGGCGTACTTCATCATCGATTTGATCTCATCTCATTGCCCCCGCCTCCGCAGAGCTTTTCATTACAAAAATCACCATTCGAATTTAATTTTCATTGTACACTTAAGTAGAAATTATTTTAATTCCAATAACTTTTTTAGATTTGGATTTTTTAATTTTTTTTCTCGCTATTAACTTTAAATATTTTCTATCGCAAAAAATAAACAAAGCACAAAATTAAAACAACACATTCGACCCCTTCGCGACAATAAGAAAAAAGGCGTGTGTTGCTGATTCGGGCCGTCAATGTAGCGTTCAGTAATGCCAACAAATTTCAATTATATGAATGAACGAGTGCATTCGCCTACGGTGATGCCTTTGCACTGTTGTATTTTGAATTTAATTATTGCTGTCACTTGAATGATATTGAGTGGAATATATTAGAAATATCAATATGTATATTAATTTATATCGTTTTTCTTTTATTCCCTAATTTAGTTGTAATTTTTAATTCGTTAATTTAAAAATTTCTTAGTTTATAAACTCATAGAAATGACGTAAACCGTTGGAATTAAAAAAAAAATTTCTTTAAGACTTAATAGCTAATAAAGAATTGTGACATTTGAGCCAATATATTTTCTTTACTTTTTGTTTGATTATACAATAAAAGTCAAATATAATAGTAAAAAATAATATTATAATGACCACAATTATGATTAAATATCCTAACTTTAATATAGTAAATAATATAAATAAATATTAGGCATTTTCGATGACTCGCAAGTGTGGCAAAAAATACATGTTGGCTTATATTCGCTAAACGAAGATTGGCATCACTGTTGCAATCTGTCCAGTGTTATATTTTAGCAATTAGCAAATCTTGCATATTTGTACATAATGCAAGCATATTACATTTTGTATAAAAATAAATAAGTAACTTAAATTGAATATTAATATGAATACAGAATTAAAACGAATGGCAAGAAGGTTGGAAATTTCAAAATAAAACACTGAAGTTTTAATTTTTCAAAATTTTCATAAACATATATATAAAATTTTTGAATTTTATATAAATTTTTGTTTATGTATGATTACAATATTCGTTGAAATCTCCAATGAAGGTTCACAATAGTTCGTTTATTGCGATGCTACCACCTTTTTCTTTGCTGGCCGAAGTGTGTGGCCAATAAGTTCGTAAAATGTGCCAATAAGTTCAGTAAATGTACAATTGAAGTAAAAATGACGATTTAAGCGTACAAGACAACAATATGTGATAACATCGTCATGTGACACGTTGTTACATTAGCCTGAATTTTTTCTTTCAAAGTTGACATGTATTTTTTCTTACGTAGAGTACAATATGAAATAGAAAAATTGTAAACACTAATTAATTAATTTAAATAAAAGAACACAAAATGAATAACAGAAGAGCAATGGTAAGCATTTTTTAACTTATTCCTTTAAAAAATTGCAATTTATGTATATTTCCAATAAAAAATTCACAATAAAATGATTTTTGAATTTGACTGCACTAAAACTTACGACGTAAAATTATTTGCAAGTAAAACTCTGAAGATTTTAATAGCATTATTGTTGCATGCGAGTATTTTTTTGCTACTCTGAAAGTAAAAATTACGGCTATTATAAAACACAATTTTAATCAATAAAATTCAACATGTTATTCATTTAGCATGCTTGACAACTTAGCAAATTATTAAGTTGCAACTTAAGTGTTAAATATTGGCATTTCATATATGCTATTAAGTACGCCTTTAGCTTTTAGCACGAGTTCAGTGTACAAAATAAAAATTTTAAACAGAACAATAATTTTACCAATTTTCATTTACTATTCGAAATGCACTGAACACAGTACGAGGTGGAGTTACATACCTGTTTTTGTAAATGTCAAAGTGAAGCAATGCAACCCTGTTGTGTAATAGCGCACTCTATTCCATACAGTCGTTTACTGTCAGCGATTCCACTTGATATTTTATTTTTCCATTGCAATTGTGCAAATAGTCAGAAAATAAAATGGCCAGTCTTGCAACAAGAGGTTCCAACCTTGTGAACAGTAAGTAAATTGGTGTAACATATAGTGAAACACAGCATATATAAGTGGTTGTGGCCAGTTACTGCATAACCCCACATTTCAATTATGTAATTTTTAATTATTTATTATATTTATTTGACTTTTTTCTTTTTGTACAGAGCTAATAACCCAAGGAAGACCACAGCTTGATGTCTTCTTGAAATACGCCAAAGTGGAATTGACTCCTCCAACTCCCGCTGATATCCCTGCTATTCGCAGTGGCATTGGCCGCCTTCTCACAGGTGCACGCACTGGAGCTTACAAAAATGTTACGGTACGTCAAGCTACTCTAAATACCTTGGTCACCATGGAAGTTATTTTCTGGTTCTATATTGGCGAATGCATTGGTAAACGTCACATTGTTGGCTATGATGTTTAAGCGGTTAATTAAGATTAGTGTTAACTCGTTTAAGTATTTAAAGTAAAACAGTTTTCGCGAACATTAATTACAGCCGAAAAGAAGGAAACAAAATCGTTACACTTAATAAATGTCTAATACGAATTCCACAAATAAAATTACATAAACACTGCTGCGAATGTAAAATAATGTAGTTTAAATACTCTAACCAAAATCTGAATAAAAACTTTTAACTTGTAGCATTAATGCAATTGATTTTCCCATGAATTGAGTGTCCTTCAAGTGTATTAATATTAAGTGCCTACATATTAAACATTGTTAAGTCTATTTAAAGGCGCTTAACTTTTAAATATTTAATTATATATTTATATCCATCATAAAAAAGTTTTTTCTAAATACTTTCTCACAACGAAGTCGTAGTCCTCTTTATTTACTTAATATTTTTTTATAACATGGTGACTATCATGTTACACTTTCAGTCCGGCAATTATTTCGAAATATTATTAATTAAAATTTGTATCTGAAAAATAAAAGATATGTTAGCAGATTCATTCATTCAATCTGTAATATACGCAGTTTATTGTAGTGAGACAAGATCCTGTTATTTTGTTGTTGTAGTTGTAACCAGCTGGGATCTACTTAAAAAATTCCTCTGAGGGATGATGAACTGCACTTGGTCATCGTGATTGATAAGTGACCCGATGGTTCTTGGAATTACCATATGCTGTGTGTAGATCTTATTTTTAAATTCTGTTTTATGTACGTAGAGATCATACAGGATTTATACATTTTTCTTGAACCTACCTCTCTCTAACATCACGAGCAATCAAACCTTTTTAGTATGTGAAATTTTACTTGACATTAAATTTATTTAATTTTTGCTTTCAACAATTTTCCCATGTATTAAAGGGAAAGGAGTGATTTATTGCTTTCTTTATTTGAACAACTGAAACAAAGTATGATAAACAGAACAAAGTTTGCTTTAAGGAGTGATCTGATCTACTTTCCAGGCCCACTTGTTTTTCAAGGTGATCGAAAACTGTTCGTATCTTTCCAATAAAGGCAAGACCAGATGTCAATACAGCAATTTAAACATTTTACATTTAGACGAACTTTTATCAAATGGAGACAGTCCCACATAAAGCTAGTTATATATGTATGTGTGTAGTAATCTGGATAAAAGACCTATATCTACAGCATGTCTAATAAAAATGTTACAATCTACAAGAATTTATTTTAATTGAATTCTTTAGAAACAGAGGACTTTCTTTTTTCAAATATTGCAAGCATTTACATAGAAAAAGTAAATTTTAAAATGTGGTATACAGTCTTCGACATAGAATATTGATGACAATTTATCTTTATTTTAACAAACTATTCTCTGTTAAATTTCTAAACTTTCTCATAAAAAATGCTTGACTTGATTTCATTGATTGGTTTGAGATCTCAACAGAATCGCTTTTAATCACATTATTCATTATGTCGAAATGTTGAAAATCTTTCAGTTGTATAAATATAAAATAATTGACCAATTAGCTTAATACAACACTATATTTTCCTTTATGAAAAATATAGTTCATTGATGTTTCAAAATATTATTTTAAAACTATTTGAAATTATTTTGCTACTTGCTCTCAACAACATCTTAAAATACTTCATTTTCTATATGGTCCAATGCATACTTATATATGCTGTATCCCGCCATAAAACGTCACGTAAGTATATAATAAAACTAAAAATATTATTAATGGCATCACCAGTTTGAAGTTCAACCTAGCCAAGCGGTATATGCTACAAATCTAATCGTCAACTACAACGATTAAGAGCACTTGGCATTTTATAACAGCAGTATCCTAGAGGTCGTGTCTATACTTCTAGGATTTTTGGGTCCTTACGTATAGAAACTTTTTCATCAACTTTGTTTACAAAAACAAAACAATTCACCCACGAACTTTAACAGTTATGTGAAATTATCAAAAATTAATCTATTCCAAATTAATTATATCTTTCAACTGTATTTTGCAACTTCCTATTGAAACTTTTTTGTTTTTTCAATATTTGCTTATGTTAATCGAGCACCCCATTATTTAATAACGGATTTTTGTTGGATGCTAGGGCTTTTATATAAAAATAAGTCACATCTTTATGTTACGTATGTAACCATTAGGTCTGTAATATAATAACGTGATAACAATAAGTAAATACCATAGGCAACCAATCACATTGTATTAAAATGAAATTAAAGTTCTATATTATGATGATAAAAATCTTAGCTTGTTTTCAAGAACTAAGTATTAAATAAAAAAAAAACCAATTTTAATTACAACAATATGCTTTAAATAATTCCTTTTAATTTATATATAAATATCCAGACGCTTGAACCTTCTAGGCTATCAAAGTTATTATAAATGTACGTAATACTGTAATATAAGCGACCTATAATGAAATTTCATTGGTGTCATTTATTATTCAAATTTACATTAAACAGATAGAGATTTGCTTATCTCGATCAGCGCAGCTAAGATAACCTCTACACAATATTACAAAGTTCATTAGTAGTATATCCCTCCTTCCCCTCTCCTTAGAATGTATCAGAGCATAGAAAATAAAAATGTAAAAGAATAACCCAAATAGAACTATAATATCTAGCACTTATGGATTTGTGTTACACTCATTTATATATATGTATATATACGTAACTACAACGGACTCATTTATAAGGGATCAGTGTTCATATAAAAATATTCAATTAAAAAAAATATTGATTATTTATTTCGGAGGGTTTTAATCCTAAAACACCGTTGTATGTGCAATTGAACAAATTTAACATAATATTTTATTAAGTTTCTTTTACAGAAAGTGTGTTTTAAAGAATCGTTGACTTAGCCTTCATACAGTGGAATGTTTATTTTGTTATATAATAAAAGTTATCCGGATTAGATAAAGATAATTCTTTAATCACCTATTTAAATGTTATTCGTTGTTTAACGTGTTCCAATTCCACCACGTTGATTATGCCATCCGCAACGCCGGGTTTAGATATATTTAACTTAAAAATACCTTTCGAAAACACCAACCAGCTTAACTGCAAAGTCAAATTACTTTGCTATAAATGGCTAAACTGCCCCTTGCTCACCTTCACCTTCCCCATTTGGTCTGTAATCACTTCCGCTCATATGGAAAGAATCCAACTACAAGCACTTCTCTATTTGTGTTCGGTATGACAATGTCAAGATCTAAACCCGCAACGCCGGGTTTAGACATACTCAACTTAAAAATGCCTTTCGAAAACACCAACCAGCTTAACTGCAAAATCAAATTACTTTGCTATAAATGGCTAAACTGCCCCTTGCTCACCTTCACCTTCCCCATTTGATCTGTAATCACTTCCGCTCATATGGAAAGAATCCAAGTACAAGCACTTCTCTATGTGTTCTGTATGACAATGTCAAGGTCACTCACATTGACGAGTACCTCCTATCACTCGCCCGTATATACCTCACTGGACCACGCAACCTCTCCCCTGACGTCTCCACCCTCAGCATCCTCACCACAGACCTTATTCAAGCCTTGCGCTTTAAACCCCAAATATCTTACCTAATACTTTGATGAGTGAGACCGTAATGTTTACCGCTAGTCGTACCCCCGTAATCGTGCTATATCCCCACCTGCTTCACATACCCCCAATTTTCTTACTCCACTCCCATGCTTTCTGATTTAGATAAACCTAGTCTCCTAGATATTAAGCCTATCGACTCACATCTCACTCTCTTGATTACTGGAACAAAGTTTACGTATTGCCGTGAAAATCTTCTCCATTCATTCCTAAGAAGTAGACTTGACTACCTTGGAATTAAGCCCACAGCAATTACGAAATTTATAAATAGTCGAGAATTGTTTGAGTTCTTTTAGATCCGGGTGCATTCGTATCCTATTTAATAATAATAATCCCTATGAGGTGGTTTCAAGTCTCACACTGTAGCTTTCGATGTTTTTCACTTACCGGAGAAAAAAATCGTGTTTCAATTACATCTTTACTCACAATGATATTGTTAAACTGTGCGTATACATAACGATACCAAATATGATTGCTCCCACTCTTTAGAAGTCAATATCCCGTTATTTAAGTAAATAAACCAGTATTTTTTTTCAACCTACACAATTGGTTCGACTACTATGTCAAAACAAGGTCTCATTACCAGTTCATTAGTCATATTTTTATCAATTCTTTTATTTATTTATTGTTTCTAATCTTATATACATTAAAAGTAATTAGGAACTTAGCCTAGCTATACATAATTTATATAACTTATTATTTTTACACGTGTCTTAGATCGCTAAAGGATTTTTTAAAACTTCGTCATCAGGTTATCATATATAGTTCTTCATGTTTTCCTCCTTGCTACTAGTACATACGCTTGACTTTACAAAATCCCATAACATAGTTGATGTAATATCTAAACCTCAATAGATTAAGACCAGACACCATAAACTTTTGAAACCGATTGTGCCTAGGTAGACCAAGTTAATATCGCAGATAGAACTTAGTTTTTACAATACTTATTTTTTGAAATCTTCACACCTAGATTTTTTAACTTCAAGCCTTGATTGTCGACAAAAAATTCATCTAGTGTGGTCTCACAAAAGTTAAATAATCAATATTCATCCTTAAAAAGCAATCCAGGGCCAAGAAAATGCATTTATTAAAATAATGAGTAAAAATGATTTCAAACAAAACGATGTCGTACTATATGATTATATTAATTCCGTCTGTCCGTATGGAAGTTGGAAACGTTTTAAATGTAATTTACTGAAGCTCAAAGCTTTTTTAAACTTTTTATCTAATCACACAACCTTTTTCATGGTATTCGTTTATATTCGAGCTAAAGTGTTAAAGCTATATTTTCTTTCTAATTGCACCTAATTTAAGCAACTATAAACTTTCTTCAAATTATAGTCTGTAAAAATAAAATAAAAAAGTAATTAGGCGTAGTTAAACATAAATAATTTTCGAGATATATAGAGTTATATAGAACTCATTAAAACTATGTATTTTCGGATCAGAGCTCATATGCTAATACTATTGATCAACTGTGATCGTGGGTCAATACAAATCACTGTACAGATTGGAGGGCCGGAGAAACAAGTACATACGATTATAGTTGTTCTAAAGAAAAATAAAAATACGATTATAATATTTAATTTGGTTTTATTAATTTATTAATTTAAACTCATTTATTTGGTATACCATAAAAGTAAAATAATGTAGTTTTACCAGTACACTATACCACGGGCCACATGTGACCCATGGGTGGCGCTTTAGACAGCCCTGCTGTAGATATATGAAGGTACACATAAAATTGTTGCAATTTTTGTTATTGGTTTATTTATTTATTTGCTAAAAATTTTTCTGTCAGATCGGAACTATGAAAGAAACAAAACAATTCTTAAAAAGAAAGCAATAAATCTTATTTATTAATTGAAATTATTAATGTTCTAAATTTTGAGATCCTTTGCGATCCGATTTTTTCCGTAACTTCAATTTCTCCATATATAAGTTATGTCAGATTTGCTTCTCCAATTCTTGCTGTTTCAATTTTTCCATTTTCTGGATGTGTTTTCGTTTAAGGTTTCTTTCTAATCAACCCACACCTTTTTCCGATCAGACATATTTTTTGTTGGCGGTTCTGCTGAGTTCAGCTCTATTGTCGCGTTGCTCCAGAACCTAGCAACATCTTCTGTGATTTCCGTATGAAAATCACGAGCAATATCTAAATTATTTTCCAGATTTTTATTTGTCTTTTTCACATTCAAATATATTCAAAAAACTAATTATTATTGGTTACTTACATGTTAAATTAAACTCTTTTTTAACTAATTAATAAACAACCTTACGCTATCATATCAAATCTTCAATCTCTTTATTCTCAAGCACGCACTGCTTTTATACAAAAGTTGCTTAAATTATAATTTAATTTTATAATTAGGATAGAAATGTCCTTCAATTAATAAACTGTAATAATAGTTTATGATTGCGCAGATGTTACATTAAAAAAAAAAGCTATCTGCTTCTTCAATTCGCAATATTTCGTTGTTTTTAGGAATTATTTGACCCGTTATGAAGAATTGTAGGTTTTATTGTTTTTTTTTTTGGTAGCTAAGGCAATAACAAATTAACTATATATATTAGTTTTTAAATGAAAATTAAAAAACAGACAAAAACCTGTTTATTTGATTTGCTCTCATATTGGTTACTTCTGTTATGCACAACACTGTATGTAAGAAGACAGATATAACTGACTAGAACTATATATGTAAGAAAGCAGACATAACTGACTAGAACTATATATGTAAGAGAACAGATATAACTGACTAGAACTATATATGTAAGAAAGCAGATATAACTGACTAGAACTATATATGTAAGAGAACAGATATAACTGACTAGAACTATATATGTAAGAACACAGATATAACTGACTATAACTATATATGTAAGAAAGCAGACATAACTGACTAGAACTATATATGTAAAAGAACAGATATAACTGACTAGAACTATATGTGTAAGAGAACAGATATAACTGACTAGAACTATATGTGTAAGAAGACAGACATAACTGACTAGAACTATATATGTAAGAAGGCAGATATAACTGACTAGAATTGAACATGTAAGAAGACAGATATAACTGACTAGAACTATATATTTAAGAAAACAGATATAACTGACTAGAACTATATATGTAAGAAGACAGATATAACTGACTAGAATTGAACATGTAAGAAGACAGATATAACTGACTAGAACTCTATATTTAAGAAAACAGATATAACTGACTAGAACTATATATGTAAGAAGACAGATATAACTGACTATAACTATGTATGTAAGAACACAGATATAACTGACTATAACTATATATATAAGAAAGCAGACATAACTGACTAGAACTATATATGTAAGAAAGCAGATATAACTGACTAGAATTATATATGGAAGAGAACAAATATAACTGACTAGAACTATATATGTAAGAAAACAGATATAACTTACTAGAACTATATATGTAAGAGAACAGATATAACTGACTATAACTATATATGTAAGAAGACAGATATAACTGACTAGAACTATATATGTAAGAAAACAGATATAACTGACTAGAACTATATGTGTAAGAGAACAGATATAACTGACTAGAACTATATGTGTAAGAAGACAGACATAACTGACTAGAACTATATATGTAAGAAGACAGATATAACTGACTAGTCGAAAAAAGGTTCCGCCTACTGTCTTTCTCAACTCTCTAGATCAAGGATATATGGAAATTATGATGTTTGAAATCGGGAAAACTATATTTAAATCTAAACTGATTTGTGTATGACAAAAGTTATCAAGGAAACCGTGAGAACTTATGATTAGATAACAATAACAACAATTTTAATTAATTAAAACAAAGTATCACTACACTGCTTACATCTAATGTTATTATGGCTTTAACAAGTAATCAGGTCGGTATCTTAGAGAGATGCGTTTATTTATCATGTATCACTAACCGATTTCACGAACATCGTGAAGAATGACCACCGGGTTGTTAACGTCCCGGAGCCATTCATCAAATTCGCCCACCAAGTACCGTTCATCACACCCTAAAGGGACTACACAACATATCTCTGCAAACTAAAATATCAACAATAACATTACGATTGCACCAATCACAAGGAAAACAAAACAAATTGGGTTATTAATAGATTAAATCAATAACAGTCCTATTAAAAATGATAAGTACATTTTATTTTATTTGCGTTTTTATTCTGAAATGAAAAGTTATATTTAAAATTATTATAATACTAATCTTGATGACATTAAAATAAGATAATAAAGAATGAATGTAAGTGAATTTGTTTAAACCATAAAAATAATATATAATATTTTTTCAGTAATATTTATATATTCGAAAATTGTACAAAATTATGTATTAAATTTATTTACACATATTTCTTTTTGTAGATAAGAATTTTAATTTTGATTTTAATATTATTCGCTTTAATGATAGTTCAAAATTAGTCAAATAAGTTTTTTTTTTAAAATATATATGTATTTATACATAAATATACTGATTACATATAAGTATATATGCACAAGTTTAAGTTTATTTATATATATATATTAAATTCATATATATATATTTTAAATTTATATATATTTATATATATTAAATTTATATACATATATATATTAAATTTATATATATATATATATAATATTAAATTTATTTATATATATATATTTTAAATTCATATCTATATATATTAACTTTAAAGTTAAAAACGAGAAAAAACAGTTATGAAAAATGATGTTCTGCTTTTCTTAAGGTAATATTTTATGTGAAATAAGAAAAATTTATTCACATATACATTCCTAATTTTTAAAAATCATGTTTTCTTTATAACATTGAAAATGCCAATGCTTTCTTGTTTAACTACTTTTTTTGCTCATTTTCGTACTGTTAGCTAGCACTTTGATCTTTGCTTATTTGACTATGAATATATAAACTAACTTAAGCATTAAATGCTTGTATGGGTGCGATAAAGAGGTTTTCTACGTAATTGGCATTACCAATGTATGCCTTCATTGTAATTTTGTTGGGACATTTCAAATAATTATAAATATAAAAAAAAATGAAAAAAATGGCTTAAACTTTTTAAAAATCTTAATGTTTACAAATAGTATAAACGTTTTTCAAGTACACAATGGGGTGTACTTAGTAAACAATGTGAAACAAGCGTTGCTAACTTTTTGGCGTACTGGCATACAGCTGGAACTCGAGTTGTACCTGACCAATTATAATACAAATGACATGCTTTGTATGTCAGCAATTGTATTTGATCTGGTGATAAGCGTATATTGCTAAAAATGACGTTATAAGCGGTAGGCGAAACGGTACCCTGACGTACACACTGCGACACTATATAAAAGTCATACCGTTCTGGCATTGTAACAACATCGTCAACAACTGTACCAGGTGGCGGATTTTTACCTTGAGCAAAGAATCGTGTATTTGAAGTCTTTGTGACAACTATGAATGAAAACATTAACCCCTTATCGGACCCAACAGCTTTGTATTGTTCATTGAGTCTAGCAACTAGTTCTTTGACTTCAAAATCAACTACCTGTTCCAGCTGACCGTCACTAACACCATCTCGATAAAATATAATACGCTTTGGTAGTGCTTGATGTTCTAGACGATATTGGTGTAACGCTTTAACCATCATAGTCCATAAAATGGGAGCCGAATTATCGTGTGCACTCATTTCAGCTACTGTACTATAAAATGTAGAATTTATTTTCATATCCATTGTAGCAACTAGTGCACCAAATTTTTTTGAACGATCTCTTGTACTTTTTACTGCATCAAAACCTACAATCATCAAACCACTAAGAGGTATTTCAACCATCCACGGTGTATATCCAAGCTTAGCATTTATTTGTATAGCAACTTTCGTAGCAATGCTCATAAGTCCACGTTGATTACCTGCTACCTTTTGTGTTATTACCTGCATTGGTATAGCACGGTCCAGACAACATTTTTTTTTCAATGTAATGTATCTGCAAACATAAAAAACATATTGAATTTTTTTTATTTATAAAAATATTATACATTGGTACACAGAGCACAAAAAAGAATGTGTAATTCATATTTTATGTAAACGTTTGACTATAATAAAACAACCATTAGCTAAGTGAATATCACGTTTGCTCATAATCCATCAATATTAACAACGCGCTGATGATTTTGAACGTTATTGAGATTTTATTCCATAAATAAAATATAGCTTCAGTACTACATTGCTGAGACGAAAGATTTTATCTACACCGTAAAATTTATCTACACCGTGTTCTTATTTTTGAAATATAAGTAAAAAAAAAATAATTCAAGTTGTATGCAGATGACCTGTTCACTGCGATCGATTTAGTTAAGTAAGCAAATACTACAAAGGTCTTAACAAACATTCCTTAGATACTGCTAAAAGACTTTATCTATAAACAAGTATCTTTTTAGGTTCGTTTCAAAGTAAACACAACTAACTCAATAGTGACATTGACATAGTCAAGCGCATAAAACTTTAGCGCCTTCGCTGGCTTGATCATTTTGTGAAATGGAAGAAAATGTTCTGGCTAAAAAGGTGTTTGAAAACCGGGGTATGTTCGTATCTTCAGTAGAAGGCACACGATATTACCAATTGGAGACAGCCAGTCACTTATCGGGCTGATTGGAGGAAGCTACTAGACGCTGCAAAGGACGATTCACGTTTGTAATGGCGAATTAAGTATGTTAGTCACTTAATAGTGATGTATGCACTATCTTTATCTCTACGTTAAGCATTCTTAGTAAATATAATAAATTAATGCAAAAAAGTTTATTACTAATTGTCTTAAACGTGAACTGTATGCATTTTTAACTTTTTTAAAAACAATAATTTAATTAACACCTACAAAAATACTGTAAGTGTAAGTTTAGTTTAAAACTATAGTTTAGAGGATTTACAAAAATAAAAAAATAAAAATAAATAAAATAAAAATAAATAAAATAAATAAAATAAAAAAATAAAAATAAATAAAATTAAAAAATAAAAAAAATAAAATAAAAATAAAAAAAATAAAATAAAAATAAAAAAAAATAAATAAAATAAAATAAAAATAAATAAAATAAAAATGACTAAAATAAAAATAAATAAAATAAAAATAAATAAAATAAAAATGACTAAAATAAAAATAAATAAAATATAAATAAATAAAATATAAATAAATAAAATATAAATAAATAAAATATAAATAAATAAAATATAAATAAATAAAATATAAATAAATAAAATAAAAATAAATAAAATAAAAATAAATAAATAAAGGCAGCGTTATCTACCTTTCAGCGTTATTATTTGGCACCAAGCACATGATTAACTGTGGATCACCACGAGCTGCTTCCTCTAAAGCACTAATGTAGGAATATGTACGATCGTCACCAATTGCCATTCTGTAATATACCATATGTTTTTTATTTATATATTTGCTTTTTTATATTTATTAAAATATAATCAATAGTACAGCACAATTCTACTTACTCTCTGGGACGAGAAATTTGAAATTTCAAACCATTTGCAGCACGCAAAAGAGCTTCAGTAAAGTTACGCATATCACGTGATTGACGACCCATATAAACGAAAGCCCAACGGTCAAGTCCACGTGATGGTGAAGTTAACATATGACTGCTACGAAAATGACGATTCCAATCGGCATCATCACCTGCAGGAACTCTGTTTGCAATAATTTATAAAAAATTAATATCTTTTTAATTTAGAATTTTCTTCAATAATATTTACTTTTGATTACTAAAAACGATTTTTTGAGGTTCCAAAACGCGGCCTGTAACTTCAACCAGTGAATCGCCAAGTTTTAAATTCCATTCATTGAATATTTTACTGCAATTTTGCGATGATTTTAAACGACGATTAAATGCCATTAATCGATCTATACGACGATCTGGATTCATACGAGTATATTCGGCAAGTGTACGCATAAGACTGAATATAAAAAAAAATAATAAAATTAATGATTTAGTATTCAAAGTCTCTAAGGTCTAAAAAATCTCTAAGGTCTAAGTAAATAAATCACTACTGCCTAACATTTTACAACTGTGTTGGTAATGTGATGGTAATGTGATAATGCATACTTTCTTTTACAACAGAAGTCAATTAGAATTACTTAATATATGGAAGTTCTTATACTTACTTGAAATTGGAACGCATTTCTTCATTGAGTCCAGTCGCACGACACAATTCTGGTATAAGTGTTATTATTTCATTAGTTTTACTTAAATTCTTTTTGCCCTTTGTGAGTAACAATGGTTGGCGTTCATCGCGTATATGAATATTGTATTTCTGATGGTGGTAAAATTCAATTTTAATTAAATAAGCCATTTATAAAAAATAAATTAAAAAGTACTTTACCCGAGAGTAATACTCGATAAATGTTATTTCTGCATCTTTATAAAGAAATGTGCCTTTTGGAGTTAAATTGAAATCAATGTCATTAACAGTATAGGTTTGATTGTTATAATCTGTCAAAACTGTTGTACCAATGACCTGACGACGAAACTCTTCTTGATAATTTTTATTATTTGACATACATCTACGCAAAATATCATACAAAGTTTCTGTACGCATGGCTTTGTGAGCAATTTCGGCGCGTAGAAGAATACCACGTTCGTGTTGACGTATGGCTGTCTCATAACCAGGCCATAATTGGAGATTAAATTCCTTGATGTTTATCTAAAAATAAAAAGTTTAAAAGAATATTTTTTTATAATCTCTTACACATATACATATAATAAATAGATCAGTTTTAGCTTACCTTTGCAAGAGCATCATAAAAATTACGTCCAACTAATTGTAAATTAAGTGTTCCCATTGCTCGTCGCAATATTAAATTTAATATATGTAAGGCTTGATATTCCGTCATCTGTAACACACCAACATATCGAATAGTTATAGTATACTTTCGTTCATCTTTCGCATCCACTTCATATTTCGTCTCGTTTTCAGTTATTTTCTTATTAGAAAATAAATGAAGGCCATCGTACAAATATCCACCAAGTACACTAGAAATGATTGATAAAACACCACTACGTATACGGCGAACTTCAATTTCTGGATCTATATATACAATATGCTGATAAATACACCAATCTGCTTTTGTATCACAAACAAAATAATTTGTTTGCAGTCTAATTGTTCTCCCTGAAGAACCAAGTTTCGAATCCAATTCTTTAGGACGTGTATTAACAGCATCGAAACGTAAACGAGTACGCCGATTTCCTCTCTCTTCTCTTTCCACTTTAGGTTTACCATCACCTTTTGTGATTTCACGGGCATCATCAATTCCTTTAGATTTACCCTCGCTATCCAGTTTTACTGGCTTACATTTTGCTGATCCTTGACTTGTGGTTGCAACATCATCCTCTGCAGAACGACGTTCTTTCTTTAACGAATCGGCAGAGTAATCATCCCGTTTTGCTTGTTTAGAACGCTGTAAAATATTATAAATATTGTAAGTATTATAAATATTGTAAGTATTATAAATATTGTAAACCTTATAAATGTTATAAATCGTGTAAATGTTATAAACCTAGCAAATGTTATAAGTCTTATAAATGTTATGAGTCGTATAAATATTATAAATCTTGTAAATGTTGTCTTATAAACATTATAAATCTTATAAATATTGTAAATTTTGTTTTACGTAAACAAAGATTAATATCTCATAATAAATTTAATAAACATTATAGCAGAAAACTAGCAAAAAAGTGTGTTTCGATTTTATTGAAACTTAAGAAATCTTCATTTAGTGATATAATAAAATAATTGTTAAAAACAACGCTTCCGATGAAAACTGTAAAACTATAAAATTTTATTACTATTTTTAAAATGATGTTAAGTTGGTACATTATAAGATTTGTGGCAGAAATGTTAGCTGATGTAAAAATATTTCTTCACGAATTTATAGGAGAAGTTCTCCAATAGATAACTTGTTCTCTTCCACATATAAAAACTGCAAAATAATGTTTCGCATGTAGTGTTGATATTTATCGCTTTAATACAACCACAACATAGGTTCTATGTATGCCTACGTTTTGTGCTGCCCTGTGAATTAGCGTCGTCTTCTCTAGACCTCTAGATCACCAATATTTTTTAGCTTATGGCTGAAGCAAAAATTAAGATAAAATAAAAAGCACGAAAAGCACAATTACTATATATAGATTGAACCGAAATCAGTTTGCCATGGACACAAATAAAAACCCTAAAGCAATATATATATATATCTTACTGATATTGTAAAGAACCCAGCAATTTGACTTAATCTATATGTGAATCAATCAACAGCTGAATATCCCAACTATATATAGATCTGAACGTATTAACTTTGTTCTTATATATCGTAGAACTAAAGATATTGAAGAACTTTCAGAAATTCATATCGTTTATTTATCTTTGAATTGATGATGGATCTTAGTTCGGCATATCTTCTTGTGGGTCGTGAGGTGGACTTGAGGTTTGTTAGGGCGGCGTTGGACACCGTAACAACTTTTGTGAAAAATTTTAGGGCTCTGTCCTTGATATATTTTTTCATTAAGTCGATCATTAGATCTTTGTGTATGTCTGTTGTTCTAAAATACCATGAAATCTTAAATAGTCTTTTTAAAGCCAGATTTTGTGCTATCTGTAATTGCTTTATGGCAGTATTTGAGGCTTTTCTGTATGTAACACATCCGTACAGTAGTGCTGACCTAATTAATTGAGTATATAGTAACTTTCTATTTTTAAGTTTCAAGTGATTATTATTAAACAACGGCTTTAGAAAATGTAGAATTTTAGAGCAGCTATTCCGTTTGCATTTCATATGTTCATACCGATTGAGCCGCTAAACAATATATTATATATATATTATATACACATTTATTATTGAAATTAAAGACATAACTATCTATATATACTGAAATTTCACTAACTATCATTATAAGTAAAAACGAAAATTCGATTTCAATTATTTTATTTTTTGATAATTATAAAATATACATAGATGGTTGATTGCAAGATTTGCAATATATGCATCCATAAAAAACCTGTATAACAAATATCATCTCTCTAGTTATAAATGGAATTATTTTAAGTTGTTATTGCTGTAACCCGCTGTGACCTGATTGTGAAGTTCTTTTGGGAGGTGTGAAACAGTACTTGGTCGTCGCTGGCTACGAGTAGGTCCGGGACATAGACCCCTGCCGTTCTTGAAAGTAGTTATTTTAAGTTTTTCTGTTCGCTTGATTTAAATTGAATATAATAAAAGGGTATGCCACATTTAGCATTAACTCTTTATGTCTAACCGGTGAGAGAACTTGGTAATTATAAAGTATTGGTAAAAATTTTATAGTCGGTATAAATAGTATTTTTTTTTACAATAAAATTATAAACGGGTGACAAAGTAAACAAATAAATTAAAGCAAATGTTCCATAACTACATTATCTCTTGAAATGGAGTCTCATACATAAAGTGAGTTAACAACACCAAAACCGCTTATATGAAGTCATTAAAGTCAATGCCTCGTTCGCATTAATGCAGAAAAAAGAAATTTTTGATGACTACATTATCTCCAGAGATGAAACTGTACTATAGTCTTATACAAAGTGTAATTTACCACTGGTAGAGACTATTCGAAATATTTGAAATTATTGGTCTATGCGAATTATTGAAGCAAATATTCGTTGACTACATTATCTCCAGAAATGTAGCTGTATGAAGGTCTGATACATAGTGTGAGTTACCATTGGAAGCAGTTATTTAAAGTTATATGTCTATGCGGAGAAGTCTACAACGATTTCTATCTTGAAAGTTGACATTGAGTGTACAATTCGTGGGATGTAATCTTATATATTTCAAAAAGGTTGGGAACAATTGAAGATCGAATTTGTAGTTTCCTCTCCAAGACGTTTACGTAATGGTTTATTGAATAAAATAATTTTTTGTCATTTTAGCTATACAAATATACAATAAATCAGTTAAATACTTGACGCATTTGCTCAAACTATATTTACTTCCATCCATTTTTGAATATCGATATCAGCATTTCTCAATAGACAATAAGTACAATATAATTATGACTGATATTCAAATATGAACTACGGTAAACTATTTGAATTCGCAAGTGTTTTGTATCTAAAATTTTTGGCATTTTAACAAAAATATAAAAATGAAACAAAATAAAATGCTGAGATTGCAAAAAGTCAGTCTCAAATTTGTGCTCGAGCATTGACCAGGCAAATAAGCAAGATAGCACTCAATTCACATTGCAGACATATCCACAAATTGCTTACAAAAATTTAGTGGATACATAAAAAATTTGTTTAGCAATTATTTCCTGAAAGACTGACTTCGGTTTACGATAAGCAGCACATTTTTTTTTACAATATACCACAGTGTGACCCTCATAAATTTCAATTGTGTTCATAAAAAAGGGCTGGGATCGTTGGTTAAATATGTTTTGCTTATGTAAACAATGGTTTTGGGTTTTCACACTTTGAAGAAATACATTAGGAAATTCTTACAATATGCTCAGTTTGTTTACATTATGTCTTTAAAACGATCATTGTGTTATGATGAAAGAAGTCAAAAAATAAAAACTGAATTAAATAATAAATAACTGTTCAATACTTGTGATATATAACTATTACAGCGATGACTGTAAAGTGGTTCTCATAAGCTAAAGATCTTTATTCTCACCATGCAATGTTATTTGAGAACTTAATTATTTATGTCATAAACTTTTTAAAAGTATTACTGTTTATTTTATCTTTGTTTATTAATGTATGTCCCTACAAATTATATATATATATATAAGCCATATATAGACCTAATACTATTTGATTTCCAAGCATTACTATTTTTTTTACCTTTTATTTATTATTGTCTGTTATTTATTCCTAACAAAAAAAGAGATATAACAGTTTTTTCGACGATTTGCAATAATAAAACCAAAAAAAAATTCCATTGCGTGTTGGTAGACAAGTAAACTATAAGCAAGTTCCATACATTAACTCAAAATTGAGAAATTTCGAGTTGTGCCTATTTTAAAGAGGGTGTGCGATATATATACAGCAAGCGATATATATACAGTCAAACTCTCATTACTCAAAGTACCATTGTGCAAGGAAAAGCTTCGACTTATGGAAACTTCGAGTTAGAGAATTTATTTATTTATTTTAATTTTGGAATAAACTAGAATTACATTTTGAGATATTTATTTATTTGCAATCAAATAAAATATTCAGAAATTAGGGTTTGGGAGTTTAATTTTTTTCTTATATTCAGTAAAAAGAGATTCCACTTTATTCATACTCTTATAGTGATCATCAATTGTAACATCATTCATTTGCAAATATAAATTCAGAATTTTGAATGAGTTTTCCACTTCATTCTTGGAAGGCTAATGAACAATTACATCCACCGAACCCTCATCATCATTTTCCGTTGCGCTTAGAATTGGATCCAGTAATTTAGAGCTATATACCCCTCAATAATATCGTCATCTGTTGGAAAGCTTGATGTACAAATTTCATTGTCAAGCTCAATATAATCGTTAAGAGTAGCATTGGAAGTTATTTCATTTACTTTAAACCACGCTGCCAGCAACGTGAAACAAGATAAGAAAGAAAAAATTAAATATTCGGTTTGGAAAAAGGGACTTCCCCTAACACTTAAATGGATTCATACTTGAAACAAAAATTCGACTTATAGAATGCACTTTCCCCATATTCCTATTAGCAATATTTTTATTTCAGTTATAAAGAAATTCGAGTTATAGAAGTTCGAGTGATAGAAGTTCGAGTTATGGAAATAGAATTGTATGTAATTTGCTCACTAAAACCCTGTTGCACTCTCTTTTATTCGAGTTATAGAAAATTCCAATTATAGAAGTTTGAGTTATGGAAGTTTGACTGTATTTAAATGTAAACAATAGAAAGCACGATTGTAAACATAAAAAAATACTATTATAACAAAGAGTGGTTATATAAACCCAATACAACCACTCTTTGAGACTTTACAAACACTTGTTAAAAATTATTTATACACTAAATGTCTCGAAAGACTGGATACACACATAAAAACTGTTCAGAATTAAAATATGATATAACAAATAGGCGTTATGACAAAAGATTGTACGTTATTTTTTCCTAATAGCAACAATACAAAGCAACAGACGTTGCTTTTAATAAATATAATAAAATGCACAATAAAATCAGTCTCATATGTAAACAATATCATATATGAAATATTTTCATGGAATATAAGTATTAAAAATTGATAAATAATGCATATACATACCGGTTCTTCATAAGATAAGTCAGGCTCCCGTGGACGGCGACCACCACCAGACAAACTCTCACCTTGGCGATAATCAGGTTCGCGTGGACGCCGATTATTGCCAGACGAGCTATCAGAACGATTGTCACCCTGACGTGAATCTGGTTCACGCGCACGCCGGCTAGCAGAGCTATCTTGGTAACGAGATTCCGGCTCTCGTGGGCGACGATCTATATCGAAAGGATTATGGGGCTCACGTGGTCGTCGACTTTCGCGACTATCACGACTATCTCCCGATCCACCAGTTGCATACATATCATATGGCTGTCCTGCCGCATAATGTGAATCAGATTCGCGCGGACGACGACTCCCGCCAACTTCTCTATCATAACGTGAATCTGGCTCTCTTGGACGCCGGTCTGAACCGGAATCTTCACCTAAATAGCGTCCGGGTAAACGACGACCACGGCTATTAGTTTCGTCATAAGGATCTTCTTCAGAAGTACGACGATGTTCGCGATAGCGATCATCAGACATTTTTAACTATAGAAATAAAATATAATTCAGAAATTTTCAAAACTGTAAATTATTTCATTAAACATATAATAATTAATAAAACACGCACACATATATTACTAATCAAAAAATACGTATATAATCAACATACGCCACTTATAATTTTTTGGAAATTTTATTTCATGCGAAATGCACCGAAAAAACAACACAACATACAAACTCAGCGAATTCTAAAGCGACACTGACAAAGTAAAATAAAACAAAAAGCAAATAAGTGCACATAATGCTGCCACCTTCTGAATATTAAAAATATAAAACGCATTATGTATTGCGTTTTGTTCGATCATCAAGTTTTAGCGTAAAAAACAAATGAAAATAATAGAGAAAATAGAAAAAATAGAGAAAAAAAAATAGAAAATAACTCACACACTGTCAGCAAATACATCGTAAATAATTTTTTTTTTTTGAGACTGCAAGTACTAAGATTCGAAAAAATTTATATAATAATAGATAATGTAATACATAAAAATAAATTTACATAATAATACATAATATTATATATAAAAATAAATTATTTAAATAAATAATCAAATAAATAGTTTATCAAATAATTTAATAAATAAATGAAGAAATAATTTAATAAATTATTAAATAAAGAATTTATTATATTATTAAATAAAAAATTTATTATATTATTAAATAAAAAATTTAATATATTATTAAATAAAAATTTTAATGTGTTATTAAATAAAAAATTTAATATATTATTAAATAAAAAATTTAATAAGTTATTATATAAATAATTAAATAAGCTTTGAATTATTACTGGACTTACGTCGTTAAAATTATAAAAATGTTTTTTTTTTTTAAATAAAAAATTACAATAATTAATTTATGTTAAATATTAATGTATATTTTAATTTTTATAAAACATAATTTATATTACAAATATGTAACAATTTATCATAAATAATTTAATATATTATTAATTAAATAATTTATAAAATAAATAAATAAATTTAATAAATAAATAATTTATTAAATAAATTATTATATTAATCATTAAGTTTTTTAATAAATAAATACATTATTTAATATATAAATAAATTATTTAATAAATAAACTATTAAATAAATATATATTAAATAAATATATTAATAAATTACTTAAGCTAAATAAAATAAATTTATTTAATAAACAAAAAAATTCATTTAACAAAATAATAAATTCATTTAGTAAATAAATATAATGATTAGTGCATAAATAAATTTATTTAAAATATGAATAATTTCATTTAATATATTAAAAATACATTTAATTGATTGATTTAATTCATTTAATATATAAATAGATTCATTTCTATTCTAATAATTTTAATAAACAATTAGATTTTAATAAATAAATAAATTTATTTACTAATTAAATAATACTAATTAAATTAATTACAAATAATTAATTAAAATTAATAATTGGTTTCATATTTACCAATAATGAATTTTATTTATTTTCTAACAATATAATTTTTGTGTACCCAAAAACTTACAGATCGAATGACAAACAATACATATTGCGTACATAAATTAAATATGTATGTCTATTTATTAAATTTTTTTTTTGCGGCCCTATGTTCCTTCTAGGAGTTAAAGAAATTTATACATATATATATATATATATATATATTTTGCTATGCAGTTGTATATAGAGAGAAACTCATTCCCGTCTCTCCGAAATCGTTTTCGATCTTTTACCTTTGTTATAATATGGCTCACAGATACCGGAAATTTAAGTTTTTCTATATATACAACTGCATAGCAACAAAAAATATTTACCGACTTCTGTTAAATATCGTATTGATTTACGAACTGCTTACAGAAATCGCATACATAAATTCCATTCAGAATTTATTTTCTCTCTCTTTCTCTCTTATTTATTTATATTTTAATTTCTACATGTTATACCAATCCTAATTTTTTGAAGTAAACTTAATCTTTAGATTTAAGCAATTTTTTATTTTAAAAGTAAAAAGCCTTTGCAAGTCCTGTACTTTTTTATACCCTAGATATAATTTTGTTATAACTTATTTATGTTATAAGTAAATATATTAATTAAATCATGCCTTGGAAGTCTACATAAGACTTTATTGATAATTTTTGGTAATTATTAGTTTTTTTTCATTTCATGCTTAGCACTTCTACAATATATTATAGAATAAACGTATATAAAATAAAGTAAAACTGAACTAAGAAAAGGAGCCGATGAAAAATTTCTAATTGAGGACAGAAGGTAGGTACAAAGCAATTGAACGTATTTTTGTGTTTTTTCCCTAACTGCTTGGTAATTCCAACTTTTTTTTTGAGAAAAAAAATTTAAGGAAATATAAACCGAAAACATACATACATATGTATGTACAGTTCCTACAATTAAGCAAAACTTCACAATCATACAGAAGGTTGACGACAAAACTGCAGATATAAAAAATAATGCCTACATACTCTTTCCCTACATATAAATTGTTGTAGTTTTTAATACACATTAGTGAATATCTTAAATAATTCATATTGATAGTTTATCTATTTATAATTTCATTAATAGAAAACAAATCATGAAAGTTATCACAGAGAACTCCAAGCAAAACCAAAGCAAAATTAGAAAAAAAAACTAAAATGGTTCCCATAACGGTAAACCAATTAGCCTTTAACATACCTTTCACGTTTTTAAATTCTTGCAATTAAAATAATCACGATTTTAGACAAGTTATTATCCAAAATAACTTTTACAAGACTTACGTTTCAATTTATTAACACAAACTTAAAAAAAAAAATCAAAACGCGCGCTACTTCTTCACAGACCCGCTGAACTTGCAATAAAGACCGAATAATAAGTACTAATGGAAATTCAAAATAAACAACATTGCCACACATTTTTAAAAAATTAAAATGTCTTCAAGGATACATTAGTAAACAATAACATACACAGGTACCACACCTCATGTCTAAAATCGTTTAATTTTGGGCATATAAAAAAGTAAGATATATAAAAATGACTGATAATGATAATAACGATAAAAATTATTGTAAGTAATTTTTTATTTATTTTAAATTGTTTATATATTTTTTGTTTTAATGAAATATATTTATATTTATATTAAAATATTTTAATATAAATATATCTGTGTATATTATATTAATTTTCTTTTTTCAATATTATATACATATATCATATATAAGCTTTAATAAAAATAAACATTAAATTCACAATTAGTAGTTTAAGTAGTGGTAATAAGGCTATTAAGCATATATATTAACTGATTTCATAATATATAATATGGCGATGTGCGAGTTGGAGTAAATTGAGGTAAAGTAAATTGAAATTTCCTAGGGATTTTTTGCGCTGCACTTATGTAAATATATGTTTATTTATATATTGCACTTATATATTATTTTTGGTTAAAAGTTTTCAAATTTATTTATTTATATATTAAACATCTTTTAAAATTAATTAATACCTATTTAACCTAATTTTTCTCTAATTTACCTTACTCGAAATTCTGGTAAATACCAATATTTGTTGTCATACCGATATAATTTACTATTTTCCTCAATTTAGGATTTAGCATGCTTTATTTATTTTGAAATTTGAATTTACATTACCTAAATTTAATCGAACTCGAACACATGGCCATTATATGTATTGGAATCTTTTTATTTACAACTTTTTATTTTGTATACTCAGTTCCCCAAGTCGATAATAAAGTAAAGTAAGTCTGCGGTTGCATTGCATGCAAATTTTGTCTTGTCTGTTCGTACGAAAAAATGAAATGTATGTAAACATATGCGAGTGGTTAATGTTGCTAAGAACTATTCGCGTGACGTGTTATCTCTCTCGTGCGAAAATTTGATTAAACAAAATATTTTGTTTGAAATTCATTTGGTCGTGCAAAATCGAAAGTGCAAATTAAGAGGTGTGTGTTGTTTACAAATTTTCAAATTTGAAATTATAAATTCAAATCTAATAAGGGAAATATATTTGAAAACAGTTTTAGGAAATGGATTGGAATTCGCTAAAAGATCTGGCAAAATTTCTGTTTTTATGCCTTGATGAATAAAAATCATGCTCCCATATTCTTGTTTTGTTGTTTGAAATTAATGAAATTAATGCATTTTGTTTTCAAAACAGATCTGTCAGTTCGCAAGCAATGCAACTGCAACATGTGATGTATTCGCACGAAAAAACATATGTACGAACACGCAATACAAAATTCGAATGCAATGTAACCGCAGCATAAAAGAAGTAATTTTTAGTGTTTATAAAAAACAATAAAACTGAATTTAGAACAAAATGTTTTTAAAAACATTTGATGAAAACAGTACAAATATGTACAGAATTTATTTAGTATGCATTATTTCGAACCTTGTAAACATTTTTTATATATCTTAAATTATTTTCCTTTTAATAAAGATATGCATTATTTCGAACTTTTAAAAAAATTTTTTTATATATCTTAAATTATGTTTCTTTTAATAAAGATGTTTGTTCTGTCCGAACATAGTATCAAGTATGTTTTCAAATTGTATGATTTTGTTATTGCATTTCGCATGTTGCATGAGAAACGCTCAACTGTGGCAACTACAAAAATAATCTTCTTTTGCTTGTTATTCGGTGCAACAACAAATTATGTACATAAATTCCGTTGCAAGCAATAAGCTTTTCTTATTATATACAAATAAAAATTAGGCAAAAATGTGTTCAATAATTAGCAATAAAATTAATAAAAACCCAGCTTGAGTACGCATCTGGACGTATGTTGTACCTATTCGTTGAATATTTATATTGTAGTCTTCCTATGTAAAGGTGCCTTCGAAAACACAAGCAGTGTGGATCGTTCACTGTTAACATTTAAACCCATAATGCTTTGATGCGGTTTAATATTTAAATTATTTATGAATAAGGTGCTACCTCAAGTATTTACAATATATAAATTAATCTATGAATCTGTTACAATATCATTTGCTCATCGACATGGATACAAATATCTTCAATTACTTCCTACAAGATATGGAAGATTTAGAATTGTTCGACGAATTTTTGGAAATGAAATGGTTGCAACATATACCAAAGCATGCGGAGCGTTATGTTATGAGAAAAATCAAAAAACGCTTTAATCCTTTAATCGATCTTCCTGAAGAGGAATTTCAAGCTAAATACCATTTTACAAAGGACAATATGCGTAGAATAATTGAGATGATACGAGACGACTTAGAAATTGATAATTATTCTGAAACGCGATCTAATCAAGTGCCGGTGGAGTTGCAAATTATGGCAGCCATACGTTATTGGAGCTTGAGTGAGGTAATTGAAGTAATATATAGACTATTTGGTTATTAAAATAGTGTTTTGATTTTTCAAACAGCATCCGGAAATTACTGCACTTGCGCATGGTGTCAGTAAACGTATACTTAATAAAATTAGTAGACGTGTTGCGATTGCTTTAGCCTCAAAGGCTTCTCGGTACATACGTATGCCCGCCACACTTGCAGAAAAAGAATTAATCACAAGTGCTTTTCATGAGCTGGCACAAATGCCTCAAGTTATTGGAGCTGTGACGCATAGTAGTCTACGTTTTCAACGCAATGAAGCTTATGAAACAACACATAACAATAGTGATCCATCTGAAGGCCTTATACATATCCAAGTTTGTACAAATATAGTTACAACATTTTAATAGCTGTATATTTTATTTGTATTAACATTTATTTATATTTATAGATTGTTTCCGATACTTCCTTTAAAATACGTGATCTTGACTGCAAAATGATTGATAGCAATTACACGAATAATACTAATGAGTTTTTCTCACAAACAAGAATCAAAGAACGTTTCGAGCAAAATGAATTTCGTGGTCGTATTCTATTGGGAGATAATCGTTTGATGTGCACTTCATGCTTATTCACACCTGTAGAATTTCCAACCGTTCCAGAAGAACAAAGCTTTAATCGTGCTCATGCCATTACCTATGCTGTAGCCACTAATTGCCTTAGCTTGTGGAAACGACGTTTCGGTGTGCTCGGCAGTGAAATATGCTCTTCCTACAATACTGCTAAACATTTAATAATAGCTTTAGCGCTTTTACATAACATGGCAATTGATTGGAACGACAATAGTTTTGGTAAGAAATTGAATTTTTATATAAAAATATGGACACTAGTTTTGTTTTGCATTATTTTTGCAATAATAACAATTTGTAACACAATTATAATAATTTTGTGTTTTTTGAAGGGCTAATACACTGTTTAAATTTTTTTTGTTTTTAAAAGCTTTTATTTTAACCTATATGCTAACTATATTCTATAGTCTACATAACAATATTTTAATATAAATCACAACGAAATAATTATGTATTAACATTAAAACATAAATTAGATATATATGGAAAATAATCATACAATAGTTTGAACATAAACATAAAATACATGATATATATATACTCTTCTGGATTTGTTGAAGGCGTTTTTATACACCTTAGCACAATATTGTATATTAGTTTTATAATTAAGTCTATTATTTTTATACTATATTTATTTTTATATATAGAGGATATGTATTTTATATTTATAATATTGTATAATTATTTCCTCTATATATGTTATTTATGTTTTAATATTAATGTTTTGTATAAATATTTACTTGTGATTTATAATATAATATTGCTGAATTATATAAACATTATATAGTACCCTGATGATGACTTTAAAATATAGTCGAAATATCGGTTCAAATAAAATCTTTATTTAACTGCTGACCAATTACCCTGTTAAGAAACAAAATTATTATTTAAAATATTATTTTATTATTAAATAAAATATATAAATAGCTCATGATGTTCATGTTGCAAACCAGTATGTTTCATTTTCTTTTAGAATGATAAAACTCTAACGTTAATGATCATGTAAAGCATTTTTTGATGTTATAACCTATATTGTTTACATGTTTATTGCTGCTAATACACTCCACCATAAGCGTTAAATTGTCTTAGACCAACGTTTTCGGAACGTAGATCACTTCGAGAGCTATAAATAGATAAATAAATCATTATTTTTAGTTAACAATTGCAATTTATTAGATTCATAAACTCAAGTTGTTGTGCTTTGGGCTTAATGTTGTGGTTAAAGTTTTCTTCAATCACGGAGAGAATATCATCATTGTAATTATAAATATCAGTACAAATCTTATATATTTGTTTATCAGGGAAATCTTAACATTGTTTGTATCGTATCACAACAGTTTTTTTTATGATATTTGGTATCATCTTCCATAGATGGATAGATAGCTTCACAACTGCCTGAAAAGATAACTGTGTGCTCGCAACTTAAGTGATTAAGTTTTCACTTACGCTCTTTCATGCTATTTTGTGAAAGGAGCTTTTTTTAAGATTGTGAAAATGTTATTTTTATTTTATTAATATTTTTTATTTTTAATAATTTTTTTTAATAGTTTTAATAATTTATTTTTAATAATTTTAATAATTTTTTTTTAATATTTTTTAATTTTTATAATTTTTTTTTTTATTTTTTACTTCTTATTTATTTTTTTTTTTAATTTTTAATTATTTATTTTTTAATTTTTATTTATTTATTTTTTAATTTTTATTTTTTTTTTAATTTTTATTTTTTTTTTAATTTTTTTTTTTTTTAATTTTTATTTTTTTTTTTAATTTATATTTATTTCTTTTTTAGTTTTTAATTTTTATTTATTTATTAATAATTTTTTTATTTTATTTACTATTTTTTTTTCAATTTTATTTATTTATTTATTTTTTTTTTAATTATTGTCCTATCTTCTTCACAAATTCAATCAAGCACTGAAATTGATAATAAAATATTATAAAATATATATACAAATTGTTTTGCATATTTAATTTAAAATTAATAATAATAAATAACTTTTTTTTAATATTTTTTTTAGAACACATGTTCAATGGTTACTGTAATGGCGATTATTCGGTTAGTAGCTCTCCGCTAAGTATAACTTCTTCTAGAAGTGAAGACCTGCAAACGCGTCAGGAATTTATCAAAAATAACTTTTAAAATCAAAATTTTATACAATTATTTTTTTTATTATTATCCCTAAAAATATCTAGAAAATTAGTTGATAAAGTATTAAGAAACATATTATGTTATATATACATATATATATATATATATGTATTTCTTTATATGTAGGGTCAATTATATAACTTATTTAGCTTCCTCTGTATATTGAGCCTTAATTATTAGTAGCTCAATTTTTGTTGTAGTTTATTTATTACAGTTAATTATATAAAATGAATAAATTTAGTACATGAAATAAATTGCATTTATAAATTAGAAAAAAATAAATTTAAATAATACATGAGTTTGTATTTTATTATCATTTAAAATATAAAAATATATTTTATTTTATATTTATTATTTTATTTAAAATTATATTGTATTTCGTTCTTTAATATTTTTATTTTTATTGTTATAAGGACTTTTTTTTGCATCTAATAGTTTTAAACTTTTTGTAGTTGACATTATAAAATAAAAATTAAGTTTATTTTTAAAAAATAATTGTGTGGTTAAATAAACAATTTCAACTCAGATATATGCAAATATATTAGGTAGTAAAATATTTTGAACATAAATATTTTTCTATAGATGGAAACGGACAGATTCAACTAAATTCTGTTAGTGTTTTAATTGTTTTATAATTTTAAAAGATCTATTATGGATGTATAAGTATAAGGATCATACAAAGCAATAAGTTGTTTACTGCTGTTTACTGGTTCTATACATATGTAATTTAGTAGTAAGTAGAACATTTTTCATATACATGCTGCAGACACCTCGACTCCTAGAATGCTGGGCCAGTGCTGGTCGTTTCAGTGTAAAACCAATAAAAAACAAATTATTGTATAATATAATATTTTATATATAATCATTGAATATACAATTTTAATAGGAAATGATGTGTGTGTGTGTAGGAAGTTGAAACTACCAAGAACTCAGGCTTAGTCGGACTCTATGTTAAGGCATTTCGTATGATTTTAGAATAAAGAAGTAATACGGCAAAAAGGCCACACTCGAACTGAAATGTCCTAAGAATCATTAGAACTTCTTCTGAACAGAGCTTTCAAAGTGTACTCAGTATAAATATCAAAGTTATACTATTGTTCTGTGCTCTTACAAAACCAATGCATCACTCGAATGACATAGTTACAAAAGATAAATTTGCCTGGGCAACAAAAAGGTTTTTACATTTTTAACCGTCCAATCAGTATACGATTATTCCTTAAAGGAAAGGAAAAAACTTATGCAGGAGAAGTATTTGCGGTGTATAAAGCTCTTGCAGAAACGATTCTCATGGCACTTAGTGTAATCGAATGAATGCAAAGGAAACTCAAGAGCATCTACTGTATAATTGCCCGATTCTCTCGAGAACTTTATAAAAATACTTGGGGGCTGTCAGTAAGGTTTCTGTTGAAATCCTAATACCATAAAATTCGCTAATAACACGTACTTCCTAAGCGATGCACACTTTCGCTAAAAATTAAGACTCTGATCTGGTATCGCAATGGACCTTAATGGTCTACTCGTGGCCTTAAGGGTCTGCCATCATAATCTAATCTAATCTAGTGCAACCGAAAAAAAATCTAACCATTTTAGATGGTGGACCGGAGGTGGTAGACTGTTGCACCGTTCAAGATGAGTAGAGCGTTATGAACTAGATACAAACTTAAGCACACATTATTGCTAATAAGTAAAAATAGAAAAATCTGTAAAGTAACAACAGTTTACAGGCTTATTGGAGAAAAGAAACACAAAAAGGAAATCTCTCACAATACTCATTGTGCGAACTGCAACCAGTCAGACGAAAAGGACATTTTCCTGTATTTCCTTTTTATATGTACTGCTCTTTGGAAGTACAGAACAAACGTTCTTTAACAATTTCGAATAACTAGCGGAACCAAATGTTCACGTTCTTAAACCACACCGATTACATTTAACCGAACCATACATCAATAATTAAATAGCAACTAGGATAAGGCATAATGTCAGTGCAAGAGCACTTATTGCACTCACGGACTGAGTCCATATTGGAACAAATCAGGAATGATATATACATAGTTATTACTAAACTATTGTATTTTACAAAATAAATATAATATTTTGTGTATTGTAGAGGTTATTTTATCAACATTTAAATAAAAAACTATTTTTTATTTTTAGTTATATATGTAACTACATATATACCTATATATATATATATATTCACATCTTCGTCAGAATAGAATAATATAGCAACTGATTTTATACAAATCATACATAGTATGCAAGAACTATTAATACTAGAACATTAAAAGTTATATTCAATTTTAGTATCTTTATTTAATACTAAATCGGTCTGTCCGTCCGGATACCTGGAAATATAATTTTTGTCAACAGAAAAGTAAAAATAAAATTTTTTATGCATATATTAAATAATTAGGTATTACATTTTCTACGTGACAGAGAGGTAAAAGAGGTATTTTTGTTTTAAAAGAGACTCCTGTCATACGTTCATTTAACTTAATGGAGAAAGTTCTCTACAGGTAATGTAATTCATTTAAGTCAATCCTTGGGAACAAAAAATTCACCATTTGATTGATTTGTGGTGAGTTGGCATATTCAAATAGCGGAGACAGAACACTTTTGAATATCAAAAAGTCAATTAGAAGAGGATTATTTCTTTATTTTAAGCTTCGTAGATCAAAACTTTTCTAGTAGATTAAGATAAAGTTAATTAATATTGTCTGCATAAAAAATATTGTCTGAATAAAAATATAATTTACTTGGTAGTTATTTTCAATTTATGTTTTATGTCATATGATATTTATTAATACCAAAGTTAAAACTCAAATTTTACAATATATAGTTTTTAAAAATATGATATTTAATTAGTACGAAATAAAAATGTTTTGTAATATATTGTATTACAATTAATTATTATGTTTACAGATATAAATTTATTAATGTTTTATAAATTAATTTTATAATAAAGTTTATTAATAAAAAATAATTTTTATAGCGTAATAGCGTAATTACTGAAAATTTTAGTGAACACCGTTGAACTTCTGTGATGTTACCCAAGAATTGTAACTGCGTTACAAAATTTAGTTTCAAAAAATTACTTGTCTAATGTTCCTACAATTTTTAGAATAAGAGTAGCTGTAAAATAAATAACTTAATTCCTTAAGATATTAATATTAATTAGTTATAATTAACCTTGTAATTATTTTTAGACATATAAATGTGTATTATAATGATGGCATATAATATTTAAAATTAATATAAAACAAAATACAACTCTGCTTGTTAAAATAAAACGTGCCATCAGTAATTTTTAACATTTTGTATTTGAATGTTTTGATTTTTCGATGAGTTACCCCTTTGCAGAAGTGAAATGAACTGGGATAAAATTTCGCCGTGTAATTTTTTCAACTAAGTTTTGAATTAAAACTATTCTCATAACTATTGTTATGAGAATATTTTAAAATTGTATAACCAAATCGCTTTATTTTAATGAAAACTTGATATTTTACTTCAAACTGAACAAAAATAGTAAAATAATTAGGAAAAGATGTAAAGTAAATATGTATAACCTGTTTCTAAATAGTTTTGCTTAAAATCAGTTTTAGCTTACTAAAAGCAGTTCCACATCGATTTTAATTAGAAATGTCTTTTATAAGTTATATGCAAATACTTAAGAATTAGGCGGTCAGCTATCATTCTTAACAAGTATTTGATTGCCACTGCCTATTAGAATGTTGATAAAAAAAAACAATTTAATTTGATTCGAAATGTGTAAATTCCTTCAAAACATCTAAAAATGTTTAGATTGACATTAAAAGAACAATTGAATGAAAGTATAATTTGAAATATTCAGTTCTCTAGTTTTAGTTCTAATAAATTAAGATTATTGTTGACGAGTAAAGAAATAAGTGAATGTTAGTAATAAATATTTTTAAATTTTATGCATCATTGCTTAAAAGTTTAAAAGTAGGTTCTAAGGAACCTATCTATTAAATAACACATTTTAAAATTTAATAGAGTCTGGCAAAAGAATGTTGAACGTTTTGAAGCAATATTATTATGATAACGACTTGTTCCGATATGTGATTTAGAAATTTCCATATTTTCGAGGAAAAAATAATTTGGTGAAGTGTGTGATTTTGTCATTTCCATATTTACCAAAAAATATTGGATGTTTTTGAAACATAAATAGTATGATGATCAGAAAATAAATATAGTTTACTATGTATAGTAAAATTCATGTAAAATGTAAATATGCCTTTGCATGCGTGAACACCAAATAGTCCATTTCAAGGAGGCTTTATTTCCTTTCAGGCTTTTTTACTATTATTCCTACTATTATTTAATATTATTATTAATAGTGTGAATGCGCCCAGAGATTTACCATTACTGTTGTATATGTCTTGAAATGTAAAATATGATTTGAATCGAGACATGTATTTATAAAATATATAAATGCCCATTAATAGAGCAACATGATTACTAGGTTACTCTAAAAATGTTTGATAGAGCCGCAGCATTTGACGCATCATGGGTAAATCTCGATTGAATCCAGAATTGCGCAACAAAAAAGGTATTAATTTAAATATTTTCGTGTATAAGTATTATGAAATACTAAAATAAGAATAAGCCAAACAACATTGTATTTTTCATGTTTAGTAAAAATGAATATTAAGATTACTAATAATATTAATTAATATTAATATTAAAGTCGATTAATTTACATTAATTCTCCAGAAATGCGATCGTGGAAGTGCTGTCTAAATGGACTATTATTAGTTACAACGTATTGCATACGCGATTGGAGTAAAAATGATATATTAGAATGATGTAAACACTTACACATTTTGAAATGTGTTGCGGCGAATTCATTTTCTATTTCATTCCTTGACAAGCGTCGTGAAATATTTGCCGAATGTCATTCTGGGCGCATTTGCTTGTCGCGTAAATAAATAGTGAGATTCGAAGCTCACACTCTTAAATAAAAAGTCTTAAGGAGCAATCGGTTAATATGGCAGCCGGTCCTATAGCAGAAAGAAACCAAGGTGCGTTCGTAAATTTACATTTTCTAGTTTAAATAAACATTTATTCTTCAGATGCTACCATATATGTTGGCGGTCTTGATGACAAGGTGTCTGAAACACTACTTTGGGAATTGTTCGTGCAGGCAGGTCCAGTGGGTAAACATATTGAAATGTATTATATTGTTGTGCATATTTTAAATAACTCTGTCTTATTTTTAGTAAACGTTCATATGCCAAAGGATAGAGTAACGCAAATGCACCAAGGCTATGGTTTTGTTGAGTTTCTGAGTGAGGATGATGCTGACTATGCGATTAAAATAATGAATATGATAAAATTGTATGGAAAGCCCATACGTGTGAACAAAGCATCGGCTCATCAAAAGAACTTTGATGTTGGTGCGAATATCTTTATTGGTGGCCTGGATCCGGAAGTGGATGAGAAGTTGTTATACGATACTTTTTCAGCTTTTGGTGTTATATTACAAACACCAAAAATTATGCGTGATCTGGAAACAGGCAATTCAAAAGGCTTTGCATTCATTAATTTTGCCAGCTTTGAAGCTTCGGATACAGCAATGGATGCCATGAATGGTCAATATTTATGTAATAGACCTATATCTGTTTCGTATGCTTTCAAAAAAGATTCTAAAGGTGAACGGCATGGATCTGCAGCTGAGCGTCTATTGGCAGCACAAAATCCATCATCTCACGCAGATCGCCCACATCAATTGTTCGCTGATGCACCGGTTCCGTCAATGATGCCAGTTATGCCAGGGCAGTTAGTACCACCACCACTGATGGCACCGCCACCGCCACCCAGTGCACCGGTTGTTGCACCACCAGCTGGCATGTTACCACCGCCACCACCTGTACCGCCTCCACAGTCTGCATCATTTCCACCTTCTATTCCACCACCACCTTTGCCGCCACTGTCAAACAATCAACCCCCTTTACCGCCACCTGTTGGTATACCACCACCACCACGTATGATGGCAGCACCTTGGCAAACTGCAGGCGCTCCACCACCACCTTTTCCTGCAGGACCACCGCGTCCGCCACCGCCAAATTGGAGACCACCAGCTGGCTTTCCAACTGGACCATTTCCCCCGCGACCATTTAATGGAGACCCGGGCGTTCCTTATCAATATTAGTCAAAACAGTTTTTAATATCGTCCATCGAAATGTACACATAAACATGAATTTCCTTTTGCACAACACTCTTTGTATAATCTGACTCTTCATGAAATCTCTTTGTATAATTGTAAATATTATAATTTAAATAGTATATTATTATTTAAATTGTATAGTATCATTTAAATAGTATATTATTATTTAAATTGTATCGTATCATTTACGTCAGGGCTGTCCAGAGCAGATGCGATCGCCGGACAATACCAATCAATGTACAGATTGGAGGGCCGCAGAAACCAAGATATACGTTCATACTTATTTACGAAAAAAAAAAAACGATTATAATGTTAAATTTAATTTTATTTATTTAAATTCATTTATTTGGTATACCACAAAAATGAAATAATGTAGTTTTACCAGTGCACCAAAAGAGAATTTGCGTAATTGTGGAGGATTAAAAATATGTCAAGGACCGCGTGCAGTGCTTTGGACAGTTCTGATATAAATAATTTAATCATGTTTATTAAAATTTCTGTGGCTGCCTAAACAATATGAACTGATAATTATATATTAAAAAACATTCACGTTTTTAAGACAAGAAAAAGAAGTAAATTAACAAAATTTGTATTAAATGAAATATATTTATAAAAGTTAATTCTATTTTTTTATTATTTATTTTACCTTTTAACACTGACTGATCTACAGCTTAAAACACTATAGTTCTTCTTTGCGATTTGGGTGAATATAGAATACAAATAATAAAGACTGTGGCCTTTACCAAGGATGTTGCAGGGATCTGTACTTGAAAGAAATGACATGAAGAATACATGGGTTAATATGTGGATGGGTAATGGTTCTGTAATATCATTTGATATATGATATAAAACCGATAACGATTTCCTTGGCGCATTAATATTGAGACTTCTTTTTGTAAAGCTATGTATTTGTCTAAATATTTTGATTTTCCATATATTTAGCTTAAAAGTTGTTAACTATTTGCCTTGATTAAACAAATAACTAATATACACTGATGTGTATAATGTGTGCCACAGTTTAAACACTTAATTTTAATTGTCTAAGAAGTTTAAGAACTTGTGAACATAGCACAAGTTATAATGTTTAAAAAAAAATTATAGGGCTCAATAATTTGAAAAAAAAATATATATACAAAAATCTCATGAAAAATTGGACCTTGTTAGAAGAAGAGCGAAGAAGATGAAGATTAGGATTGTCCTTCTTTATCTTCAGTATTACTTAAATGAATATATGAATTCGATGTAGTGGCCCAGCGACGTGATATTAGGAAAAAGTATAGATTTATTTTCGATGTGTGTAAAATATTGTTGCTCAATCGAACATTTTTAGAGTAATCTAACATTTTTGTAGTTTTGTTATATTGGATTTACACAAGAGTTTTCTTTGTAATTTTAGCTGTCATATTTGTAATTTTAGCTTGCAATTGTTGTTGCAAAACTCTAATGTGAATTCAATATTAGCGGTCATTTATATTTTTCAAAAATACACGCATATGTCGAATAAAATCATACTTTAGCTATTAATTTCAGGGTAATTTTGCCACTCTGGCAAATAATCTGAAATGTTATAAATTAATATCCCGAGTATTATACAGAATATTCAATCTAAAAAGAAAATAGTTTATTTATATTAATGAGGAAGTGTTTGCACTATATTCCGAGCTCATTTATGCATCGTATACAAATCGGAGACTAATATTTCAAATAAATATTATACTTTTCTCATTTACTTAAACCTATTTTATTTTAATATTAAATATGGAAAATTCTCCGTAAAATTTGAAGTCTGAAATTGCCTGGGTTAAAGAACACTCTTTTGTTTACAAATTAAATACAAAGAAAAATGTCGGTATTGTGTAAAATAAATCTTTTAAAATGGAAAACGCGGAAAATTTTAAAAATATATATAGGACGTGTGCGAGTTAGGCTAAGTTGCGTTCTAATTGAGGGAAATTCTAAGTTGTGTCGATAATGTATTGATGTGTCGATACGTGTTGATAAATGGCAAAATGTGTGCAGTACAAATAATCCCAAAAAATCTCCCATTTGGTTTAGCATCAACTTAGCCTAACTCGCACACGTCCTTATTATATGCTTACTTTTTCAGTGCGTTTGTTTACAGCTCAGATATTGTTTGTTTATATTTTATATTTTGAATATATGACATATAAATTTTGGTCATTTCTCTTGTGGGAATTTTATTTTAAAGTATTGCATTCGATATTTTTTATTTATTGTAAATGAGCTCATTTATATGAAAGTCTTTGTATGGTTAATCACCTCATTAGTGATTATAATGAGCAAAACCGTCTAAATGAGACAGTGTGAATGTACTATTAGCTTATTTATTGATAATGAGCTCATTTATATGAAAGCATTTTGTGTGGTAAATTATCCTCATTAGTGGCTATAATGAGCAAAACTACATAAATTAAACAGTGTGAATTTGCTATAAAAAAGTGAATCTCGAATTTTCATATTTTCTGATATTGGGAAGACCATCGGTTGCAAGAACATATGTTTCATTTGACAGTTGCTTGTCACACAGCAAGTGTGGCGATATCGTATCGTATCGTATGTCCCAAATTAGTTTTGAAGTATTTATCGCATGTGCTGTGTGAGCTGTTTTTTTTTGTTTCAACAGCGGATGGACTGAGTGGACATTTTAACATTTCGATACTATGTTTTTCAATCTAGTGTTCTAAAAAAATTCACATTTTCATTAAATATTTTACTTGTTTTAGTTTTCAAAAATATGGTTTTCTATTGTGTGTTAAAGTCAAGAAATTCTGTCTTCCTATTTGTGTAAATTAAATTTAAATAAATATATGTATACATTGTGAAAAGGTTCTGAAAACCAAGCAAGAAGGCACGTTCCAAAGTTTGTGTTTATTAGTTTTTTTTGTGAAGTCTTTAAAATTATTAGTAAAATTAATTTAGTACGAATTATTGAAGTTTTTCATCAAAAGTTTACCATTTGCACGCTTGATTTTTGTTTCTCAAGTCTATTTTTTTTTCGCTCAAGAAGCAATTTGTTTTGGTACAAGAAGAGGTGAGTACAAGCAGATTTATTTACGCATACATTTAGGGATGGATGCTGTATTGAGTGAGTCCAACGATTTCTTTGGGCTCATTGAATTGAAAATAATTGTTAAATCCATCTCATTTCCATATAATTTGTTAATTTTATTTTACATTTTCAATTTTCTATTTTCAATTTTCAATTTTGCAATCTCAATTTCATTTTCATTTCAATGTCATTGTCAGTTTTGTTTGTATTTAATTTTTGCAACTTTGATAGCAAAACGTACGGACCTCGTTTCCCTACTGACCCAGTTTCGAAAACCGTCACCTTCATTTAGTATTTGGGTTAGTGAGGTCAGTGCGTGTATTCATCAAAGCTAACGATAACTGGGTTAAGTTTAACAATCCTTGTTCCAAAACTATTTACTTGTTAACTTATGAAATAAACCAATAGATCTCAAAATTGTCATTCCTGAAAGTCTACTTATACCACTTCAAATATTTAAATATATTATATTAATATTATATAAAAAATATAGTGCTTTTACTATAACTAATATACAATTTACTGTTACATCTGTTGAGTCATTGCTTATTTTTAATTTCTTTAAACTTTATAACGTATTGTAATACAATATACAATATTTCAGAAGTGATTGTTTCAGAAGTGGAATATAACTCGATCCAAATTATAGAAGGATAGGGTTCTAAATTATAATCAATGGAAAAATTTGTAATGGTTAATATACAGTGAAACGTCCATAACTCGAAGTCCAATTTTGCAAAGAAAAGGTTCGACTTATGGAGACTTCGTGTTAGAGAATTTTTTTATTTTATTTTAATTTTGGAATAAACTAGAATCACATTTTAATATATTTATTTATTTGCAATCAAATAAAGTATAGAAGTTATAGTGAAGTAAAATATTCAGAAATTAAGGTTTGGGACTTTAGTTTTTTTCTTATTTTCAGTAAAAAGAGATTTGGCTTTATTCATAATCTTATAGTAATCTCAGTTCTAGTATCATTCGTTTGCAAATATAAGTTCGGAATTTTGAATGAGTCTTCTACTTCATTCTTGGAAGGCTGATAAACAATGACATCCACCGAACCCTCATCATCACTTTCCGTTGCGCTTAGAATTCAGTTTAGGATTCAGTTATTTAGAGCTTTAGTGCTCAATAATATCGTCATCTGTAGGAAAGCTTGATAAATAAATTTCATTGTCAATAATTCATATAATCGTTACGAGTAGCATTGCAAGTTATTTTATTTATTTTGACATTTGCACAAACAAACAACATAAGAGAGAAAAAATTAACTATTCGGTTTGGAAAAAGGGACTTCCCCTAACACTAAAATAGATTCATTCTTAAAATAAAAATTCGACTTCTAGAATGCACTTTCCCATATTTCTATCGGCAGGGAACAAAATTTTTGTTCGAGATATAGAGAAATTCGAGTTATAGAAGTTCGAATTATAGAAGCAGAATATTAAGTAATTTGCTCTCTAAAGCCTTGATGCACTGTTTTTGGTTTGAGTTACAGAAAATTTGAGTTATAGAAGTTCGAGTTATAGAAGTTTGACTGTACATACATTTTTATAGAGAAGAAGTCACATAATTTATTAATCTAGGAACATGTATATTTTGAGTAACATAGAGTAACATATCTTCTATCTTTAAAATACAGAAATGTGATGTACTTTTTTAAAGTACAATGTGCAATAGGAAGGGAAACACTGAACAATTTATAGAAAACAATAAAATATAGCAGTTAAAAACGTGTAGAACATGGACTACACTTTAACAGAGCATAAATTCTCTGATGCCATTAATTATGATGGAATTATGTGGATTCCACTGAGATATACAATCCAAATAATAATAATAATCACTATTATGATTTTTGCTCAGTCAAAAATTAAATTAATTAATAAGAAATAAATTTTTTTTTTTGTGATTTACTATTGCTCAAAATATCTCTTTATTGAACGTAATAAGTTTTTCATATATGGAGCAGTAACCCTTGGAGGGTACATTCTTTATTGAACAACCGGACAAATCACGCACCACATCTCAGAGATCAAACTTTAAAGCTTGCTGATATATATATGTTGAACAGGAGACGAAACTCAAAGTATACTAAGAGTGCTTTGAGGTTTGATCTCTGAGATGTGGTGCATGATTTATCCGGTTGTTCAATAAAGAATGATTGGAAGGTTACTCCTTCATATATGAAAAACTTGTTAATGATATATATGCGAGAAACATAGAAAATATAAAAGATTGTTCTTGTTCTACGGTTCCAAACAAACTATACAGAATGGTGTTCTTACGTCTATCTTAATTCCATACTAAGAGAGAAAGAGAGTGAGTGGGAGAGATTATATACATATATATCAATTAAGAATCAAGTATCTTTCGTCAAGTATCTTTCGACGTTAAAAATCATGCGATGTCCGGTTTAACAGTTTAATAACTTTATAAGTGCGGAACTCTATTGTACAAAAGCTCAAACCATCTTTCTAATTCTGCAATAATTAGGGTTTCAGTTATTAGTCTCTGTATTGTTCCAATTTTAGTATGCGTTCTCTCCCCTAGCAAAAACCGGGTTTCAATTACTATAATAGATTTAAGACAGCTTTATTTATATCGGAATCAGGCTGCTACTATTGTACAACATATCTAGGCTTCAAATAAATTTTTCGATCCGTATTTTAAAACAGTAAATCTGTTTTTAAAGAATTTAATGAACCAACTCTCCCATATGTTCCAGACTATAAATGCTATAAAGACTGTAATTTCTATATACTTTTGCATTTATATTGAAATATGTTTTTATTAGATTATTTTTTAATGCTAATTATATACTAAAAAAAAACTAGATATTATTTGAAGATCCTAAAGTTACAAAATTATTTTGTTGTTTTCACCGATATATAAATTTATATAATTAGAATTTGATATTAAAACATTTATAAACCTTTTAAAAAACTGTTGATTCAATAGATAAAAAGTCACACTCCTGTTGCTAAAATATGTAAATATTGTACTATTATCGAGCAAAGATGGCTTAAAGATTCTTACAGGATAGCACCGCTGACCAATCAGTACAATGATAGAAATTTATAAAAATTTGAAGGTTTTTGTCTTCTTCTAATAAAAATCTTGGAATGTCTTAGGATGACTGCTAGGAAGAGGGAATAAAACTCTGTAAAGTAGGTTCTATACTACTTTTTATTGACGCAACAGGGCTTAAAGACCTACTCTAAGCCCAGAACGGGACATAATATACCCGATTGTCGCATTGGCATATCCCCTAACAATAATAATAGGAATAATATAGGAATATGTGTCGATTTTTCATACAAATTCATGAAAATACGCTTAAGATATTTGATAAGTCTGAGTGTAAACGTTATATTCGATTTTAGTGAGACAATTAAATATGGTTTTTCTATAAGTGAAAAAACAAAATTTTCTAAATAATTTTGTTGATCTTCTTTGGATTTGTTTGGATGTTTGCTTTTACGAAAAGTGTTTTTTAGAGTCATATCTAGGAAAATGCGGATTTAACGCAGATTGAATTAATCTGTGTCTTATGTATGACCAATGAGTGTATTAAATTCACAATTCCCCGAATTTTGCTTAATAGCTTTTGTGGTGAATAAACAAAACCAGTACTCAGTGCAGTACTTGGATCAAAAAGAGTTATAGAGTCCTTCAAAAGAAAAAGAAAAAATGCGTATAAAACTAGATTTCTCGAGACATAGTTTTTTATATCAATTCATAGTTATTTCCTTTAATTTTTTATTATTTAGCATTTAATTTTTTTGCCAATTGCATATCTGTGGTTTAATTTTTTATGCAATAAAGTTTTTTTTTTGTTTTTAATTGGTATCAATATCATAAATTATGTGTTCATAGAATTATTTCTCATTTTCAAACTGAAGTGTTTATGTGATATATATAACTTTGTATTTCATAAATTAATTGTAAGCATTTTTACTTTGAAAATTCCGCCTATTAATAATCATTTTATATTTAAGAGTGCTTTTATCATAATTTGCAGCAAATATTAAGTTTTCCAAAGTGAGAAATACTGTTTTACCATTTCTCAGGCATTATGGATTTTAACCCATACATAAACAATAACAGTAACTATAAGCATGGTGATTTTAGAGATAATGTGAAAAACAACAATAACAATACCTACAATCAATTTGAACGTCGTCCAATTATTCCGCATCCAGGAGCAATAAGCTACCAACGCTGTTTGGAGAGTCTTAACTATATGAACAGAAAATATATGACAACATCGGAGCCAACTAGTCCGATTAATGAACCAGCAAGACCATCGCTTAGTCTAAGAGCAGCCAGCTATCAAACTGCCGCTAACAATCATAACTTTAAATACAACAACAAAACAATACGTCAAGCTTATCAAAAAAGAGTTGAAGATTATGACGATAATTTTAGTGCTTATCGTTTTCAAGGTGCTAACTACTTTAAGCATAGTTATGGTGAGCAACAGCGTGTTAAGCCAGTTCAAAACTCATCAACAAAATACAGCCCACCGCCTTTTGTCCACAAATATAATGTTCAAAGTCAATCCAAACGCAATAGTACGGTGCATGATAATCAGGAACAACAGTTGGAAATGCCTATTCCGACATCACCTACAGCTTATTCATTTCCCAGAAATTATTCATCCACGGACATCAGAAGGTTACAGTTCAATCATTATTTCTTTATCTGCTTTTATATGCTTTTTGTTGTTCGCTTTTTATTTTTTTGTATATAAACTATATTATAATAATTATATATATGTACTATATATATTAGATTATGCTTATACTGTTAATATAATACATATACTATTACTAGATATTATAATTTTATTTATACAAGATGTTTAAGAACAAAGCATATCGAAGAAATATTTATATGAAAAAAACTTTAAGAGCTTGAAAAAAAGTCGCAGGATCGATTCTACAACTGTGATTTAAGGCGCAATACTGACTTAAGCTATTAACTTTGTTGACTTGATTCATACTTAAGTCAGTTTTGAGACTTAGTTATGACTGTCAATTCGGTCAAAAATGGTTTCTTCGAATAGCTGCAATGTATACCAACTTATAGTAAATTAAATATTTTTTAAATTTTGTATTTGTCCCAAAATAGGTTCGAAAAATATAGCTAACTGCGTTTAAATTTAGAATATTTTAAAAACCTGTGATAGTTTTTCTGAAAACTTTATTTATTTTCAGGTTTTTGTTAATGATTTTTGCTCAATTTTAAATATTATTAAGTATATAATAATAATAATTATTAAGTATAATATTATTAAATAAATATTTATATTTATATTTATATTTATATTTATATTTATATTTATATTTATATTTATATTTATATTTATATTTATATTTATATTTATATTTATATTTATATTTATATTTATATTTGTATTATGCACATTAATTATATTGTAATATTTGTAATATATCTATGATATTGACATTATATATACTCGTATTTCTATTATTTATATTTATGTATATATTATACAATTTTATTACTTATACTATTTATATTATTTTTACTTATTTATTATATTTTTTTATATTTTTATATTATGTTCACAATTTATATTATTATTATTATTCACATTATTTTTGTAATTAATATTATTTATGTTGTATAAATGATGGATTATATTTATATTATATTTATAATATAAATTATTTATAGTATATATGTTATTTATATTATGTATATTTGTTTATTTACTATATTTATTTATTTATTATATATATTTATTTATTTATTATATATATTTATTTATTATATTTATTTTTTATTATATTCATTTATATTTATATTATGCATATAATTTATATTATATAAATAATTGAAATTATTTATGTTATATATTTTTTATGTTATTAACATTATATATATTATATTTAATACATATTTATATATTATATTATTTATACATTTATATTTATATTAATTTTATATTATATGTATGTTATATTTATATTATACTTATATTATATATTTGAAATTATATATATATAATTTATATTTGCATTAAATTTTTAATGTATTAATATTAATTTTATATTAATAATATATTTATAATATATATTATTATGCTTACATTAAATTTTTATTCTATTTATATTATATTAACATTATATTTATGTTATACTTATATTAAATTTATATTGGTGATGTTATATTTATATTAAATAGAAATTATGTTTAAGTTATATATATATTATATTCGCATTATATTTAAATTATATTTATATTATTTTTTCGTTCTATTTATATTATATTTATATTGTACTTTCCTAATGTCCATTTTGTGTTTATATTATATATATATGTTATATTTATATTATATTGATGTTATATTTCAAGTAATGTGTATATTGTACTTACATTATATTTTTAATATATTTGTATTATTATATTTCAAGTTATATATTTATATTTTATATTTATATTACATTTTTAATATATTTATATTATTTTTATATTATTTTTATATTGTATTTATATTATATTTATATTATTTTTGTGTTATACATATATTGAATTTATTTTATATTTATGTTGCATTTACATATCAAGTAATTTATATTTTATATATACATTGTATTATTAATATATTTATATTATATTTTGTTATACTTACATTTTATTTTTATTCTATTTACATTTACATTTGTATTTACTCACATATATTTTTATTATTTATATATATTATATTTATGTTATATTAATATTGAATCTTATTTTTCTTACATTTTATTTTTATTCTCGTATATATATTATATACATACATGCATATTATATTTATATTATATTTTACTGTACTTACATCTTTTTATATTTATATTTATATTTATATTTGTATTTATATTTATATTTATATTTATATTTATATTTATATTTATATTTATATTTATATTTATATTTATATTTGTATTTCTATATTTACATATTTACCATATATATATATTTATTTATTTATTTATATAAATGTAAATACACACTTTATATATAAATTTATATATTATATATTTATATATACTGTGTATTTACATTTATAATTATATTGAGCAGAAACAAAGTCTATATAGGGAATATTTTTAATATTAACCGAGCTGCTTTTTCCTGAAAGGAAACCTAATTTAAAAAAGCCTATGTATCTAATATCTCTTTCGAAAATATTATGAAAGCTGGTAGTAAACGTAGTAGTAAAATATAAGCCTTTGGCTTAGCAGTCATGGGTTAACAATACATATATTTAAATATATATATTTTATATTTTTCAAAGAATAGCGTTCTTTTGGTATTTTTAAACATATTTATTGTGTATAATATCAATAAATAAAATGTGTTAATAAATATATACATATATTATGTGTGTAACTATTTTGAATTTTTTTGATTCCATCGATCTTAAGATCTATATGGCGGTAAGTTCCATTCTAGTATATTTGTCTTTGATGACCTACGCCTCGGTTAATAATCAGGCTTGTTTATGGGATTTTGTATAATTTGTTTATTTATTAAGCTAAAAAATCACCTAATTTCGTGCTATTAATATATAACATATAAACAAAAAGTTAGTAACTTTTTTTACTATATAGATATATTCTTTTATCTATTATATTCTAATTTTAGTTTTTTTAGTTATATCTTATGAATTATAAAATTTAGTTATTCTTATTGGAATCAGTATCTTTCAAACAGTATCTTACACTGCAAAAAATATTTTAATATTCGTATTGACAATTATATTTAATAGACAATGACTCATAATATATATGATATACAAATATGTATATCATACATATATATATATATATATATATATATATATATATATATATATATATATATATATATGTATATACCTATACATATACATTCATACATATATATACAAAAACACCTTCAATATATAAGTTGAATACGTGTAAAACTAATAAAAATAGTTTTTAGACCTTTAAAAGCAGCTTTAAGATATTTTGTGCTCCACATACACCTATTTAATTTAAAAATAAACTACACAAACTCTTAGACAGCTTTGAATTTCAATAAATTTGACACTACAACCAAAATCAAATAACATATAAAATATTTTTTATTAATATCTTTTATTTTTATTTTGAAGAAAATACTACAAAATTTTATTGTGATAATTATTTGCAAGTGTTTCTTATATACCATAGTCTTGTATATATTTTATAACAAAGCAAAAATTTGTAAGAATATTCAGTTAATATTAACAATACCGATTAATAAATAAACAATATCAATAGGACGGTGGTCCCGTTAAAGGAGATTTGGCAACCGCCTTTACCCTCAATGAGTCTGAAAGCAGCAATGTTAGGCCCTCCAACACAGCTAATACTGCCCAACCGCATGTTGTCTAGTTCCCAAAAGAAAGCAGTTCAAATAAAAACCTTTAGATGTACCGTTGAAAAGAATACACCCCGCGACGAAAAGATACCTATGCACAATCAAGAAATCTTGCGCAATATTCAACAGAACAAAAAACAGTTTGCATCTCAATACTCAAAACTCGAAAAGGTGGACTCTTCACTGACGCTTGTTTCAAAAAACGAATCATCCAGGTTACGAGTATAATATACTAAAATAATATTTTCTGTGCCTTAATCAGACTCTACTTACAAACAGCTGACACAAATATTTATAAATTGCTTATGAGAAAGTCATATGCCTTGATATAGTATAAAAATTATTTATAAGATTATTAATATTAATATTATTTACACTGATATATACAACCATATATACTGAACACATAACAATATATACCACTTTCAAATTGTTAAATGGTCCGGAAAGTAATTTCGGATTTTTTTTTTTTGATTAGAATGTAAGGCGGTTTTTTTTTTTTTATTATATAAAAATATATAATTGAATTATATAATCTATATTTTCATTAAATATCTTAACCAATACTTCTGGCAGTAGCATGAATCCACGTTTCGATCTTTGTTGAAAAAAACAAATAATATTAGTTGTTTTTGATGTTCTCATTTCAAGAAAAGATTTTAGCCTACAAATATTTGTAGGGACAATTAAAAGTAATTATCTCAGACAAGCTGTATATGCTTTTGTCAAGCTATCGAACTTGTAAGAAATCATGCATTACCCTAGTTAAATGCATTATCTTTTTCAATGAGCAATTCTGGGCTCTTTGGTTTCAATAAAATATTTAATTTATTTCGTTGATGAAATAATATATTAAAATTCAAAAATTATTATTAAATAAATTGCATCAGATATCTTCCTTAACTGGCTTTCTAGGCATCAAAATTGCTAAAATGAAATCTTGTAAATCACTTTAGGCCTTAAGGTTCTGTCGTTATATATCTGCCTGAACAACATTGTATCCGTTTGGATAATAAAGTAAAATACATTTGTTGAGAAGGCTGCTTTCGACTTTTTATATTTGATAAGAAAAATAAAAATTATTGTCCTTAATAAAATAATATCAATGGATTGTCTTAAATTTAAAATTGCTGGGTCTTGAGGTTCTGTCACTATATATCTACCTGAACAGAAGTTTAACCGTCTGGATAATAAAGTAAAATACATTTGTTGAGAATGATGCTTTCGATGGATTCTCAATGGATTGTCTTAAATTTAAATTGGCCTTGAGGTTCTGTCACTATATATCTACCTGAACAGAAGTTTAACCGTCTGGATAATAAAGTAAAATACATTTATTGAGAATGATGCTTTCGACTTTTTATATTTGATAAGAGAAATAATTACTGACCTTAATAAAATAATCTTTTCACCTAACTAACCTTTTTATCGGAGTGTTAGCTCTTAAAATATGTAATATCAATGGATTGTTTTAAATTTAAAATTGGGTGCAAAAATACATTAAAACGTTCTGTCCGGGAAAAAATGAAATTACTTTTCGAACAATTCAAAATAGTTATATAAACAATTCTTCAACATTTCATAAACCAAATATTACAACTAATGTCGGTCTCAACCATGAGGAAATAGACAGAGGGCAAAGTCCTATTGTATTTCTTATAACAACTAGGTGCGGAAGGGTTATCGATCTATTTAAAACGGGGTTATGTTCCATTGTTGCATTCTTTTGGTTTAATACGTGGTCTTAAGTCTTAATATAAATATTTGAGATAATAAGTATTTATTTAACTGGGAAACTATACATACACAATTAAAAATGTACATACATTGTATATATATGCAAATAAGTAAATACGTACAATATTCATACATATTTAGATAAACACATACATAGATACATATATACCTACAACATACAAACATATATACATACATACATACATACAACTACAAACCGAAGAGCATTAAGCTATAGTTTGGTTAATTGGATAGATACAGTATTTATTGTTGTTGTTGATATTTGTCTATGATAAGAATAATCAGTTCTTGTTAGTTTTAATTGCTCATAACGAAATTTTTTCTTTAGTGGCTCGAAATACATCTTCAAAAATTGTATACACTCCGTTTACACTGGCAAGATTTTTCCATACACATTTATTTTTTAACAAACGCATACAGTCGCTAGCTACAGTCACTAGCTACAGTCGCTAACTACTGTCGCTAGCTACAGTCACTAGCTACAGTCACTAGCTACAGTCGCTAGCTACAGTCGCTAGCTACAGTCGCTAGCTACTGTCGCTAGCTACAGTCGCTAGGTACTGTAGCTAGCTACTGTCGCTAGCTACAGTCACTAGCTACAGTCGCTAGCTACAGCCACTAGCTACAGTCGCTCGATAAAGTGGATGAGCACTCTCACTGAAGTTCTACTTTGTTTTGAACATTTCTGGCTTCTGTAGCCAGTTACTTTAATTGAATCGAGAGTACGATATAACTTTATTTTTTGATTTTATGAACAAATATTGAAATTTATATATTTTTGAACACAAACCATCCACATGATATATAATATTAAATAAAGGGAATTATTAAGGAACTAATGATATATGAATGGTATACTCCCATGGTATACTCCAAATTTTGCTTTGAAATATATTACAAAACTTCGCTACAAAAATAAACTATTCTCACTATTGTCATTAAACACACCGTATTTTGATTGTTAATGTGTCTTTAAATGTTTAATAAATCAAATCAATTTTGATTTGAAGTTTGAAAAGAAAAGTATCTTCAATCGATGAATTTTATGTTTTCTTATTTATTAAAAACAGAAATCTTACATCAGAAAATAAGTTAGATCAGCATTACCAATACTACGCTAGCCATTATCATAATCAGCCTGAACCTTTCAACAACTCAACGGATATTTTGATTGAACCATCTACAATGAGTTCGGCACAAAACCACGAAATAATAAATTTCACAGATATACCATATGTCTACGAAAATGATGTGTTATTGAATGACAACCAAGGATCTGAACATAATTTCAGTAAGTCTCAGATACTTACGGAAAAAGGTAATAATAATGATGTCTATGAATATGATGTCCCGGATTTATATCCAAAATGCATGGATGAAATAAAAGAAACTAAATCTATCAAATCTATCAGTAATACCAATATAAAAATTGATGCAGGGTATGAGTATCAATCAAACAATGTTTCTATGAACACTAAGTCCAAAAAGAGCTCCCGTACTGTTTTGGATAAAAATGCAAATAAAAATATAAAGAACACTATTAGCAGTCATGACCAGTTGAAATTAAACTCAAAAAATAATAATTGTTCACCGGAACAAAAGTTTTCTCCACCCAGCGAAACGATTGATATAGAAAAAGGTTTAGAAAAACTATCAACCGGTGCTGTTAAAGTTAGAAGTGAGTACGATTTTAGTTTCAAAATATTTACAAATTTTAGTATTAATATTTTTATTAATAATATATATATATATATTTTTTTTATATAACCATATTCATTACAGGCAACTCATCAGTACGTAAAAATTCACCAGCACATCGTGTGTTACTCTACAACAGACAAAGTCCAAATTTATCTCGTGTTCCGTTAACAGCACGTGGAGATAAATCAAGACGTACACGTCTTAGAGGTGGTCGTGATAGTGCTGTAATTGTAGAACAAACCTGCAGTCCCTCTGAACAGTATAAGAAACAAATTAAAACAGCTTACGTTAATGAAAAGAGTGATATAGTAGTTGAGCTCGTTGACACAAAACGCACTGGCGCACTTGGCGATAAAAATGTCGATGGTGATACTCCTGAGACGGACGGTAGTGATGATGATGATGATATGGATAATTGTAAATAAATGTTCATAATATGAGTATAAAATTTTCTATATTTACTATATTAAATATTTTAGTATCCGCTTTGGACGACACAGAAAGCGGTTCAGATTCGGAAGATGCATATCGTACTTATATATGTAAATTATCACAAACCTATAAACAAGCCCATCATACTTTTATCAAACCCTCTGAATCAGAAGAGGATCTTGATAATCCAGATTCTCTGCTTGTGCCCAGCTTATTTCCAAATGTGCCACCGTATCTATCATTTTCAAATAGTAAAAGTAAGGGTCCAACTATACCGTACGATTTGTTTCGAGTTCTAAAATGGCGTGTTACAAATGTTATGCCCAAAGTAGTTCGTAGTATTCTAAATAATAGTGGAATGCGTCTGCTTAAGAGTAAGTTTCTATGCGATGATTTTCTATTCGTTTTCTTTCTTCCTTACATATGTAACATTTTTATAGAAACAAATGATTGGATGGGTGTTTGGGGAAAACACATGAAATCCCCATGTTTTAAGACAGTTCGTCCTCATCAAAAAATTAATCATTTACCTGGTTCTTTCAAAATTGGTCGTAAAGACTCATGTTGGAAAAATCTTCAAAAACAAATGCAACGCCATGGAAAAAAGGATTTTGGTTTTATGCCAAAGTAATTAAAAATTTTTTTTTTTTATTTTGTTGTATATTAAATTTATTTTTTTACCCTATTAGAACATTTATAATACCGCATGATATAAATCTGTTGCGAAAGAATTGGATGAAATGCTCAAATAAAAATGTAAAGTGGATTATTAAACCGCCAGCAAGTGCCCGTGGTACCGGTATACGCGTTATTAATAAATGGTCTCAGATACCAAAACGTAAAGCTTTGATTGTCCAAAAGTGAGTAAATAAAAATATGCTCTTAATCTAATTTTTGTAACAATGAGTATGCCCCTTGTAAGTCAAGTATTAAAAGGAACTTATTTTTCAGTAGATTATTAGATCGAAAATATATCATCTTTTAATGAACAAAATTTTTCCCAAATTTTTTTTATTTCATATAATAATAAAAGATTATTAAAATTCAAGATTTTGGTTTTTTTTTACGTACAGAATTTTTAAATTTATAATTCTCATACACTTTATATACTTTTCGTTAACAGAACTTTACATATTCTAATTTATAATTATTTAGATTTCTAATGTTAATATAAAATATGATATATAATAGGGCATTCCTCGGTTCCTCTTGCACAACAAACTTATGTTCGTTCTGAAAATGTATGGTATATATATTTGAAACAGTTGTATAAATCAGTATTTTTTTTTACGTACAGAAGTTTTTGAATTTATAATTCTCATACACTTTATATACTTTATGTTATAAGTAGTTACATATTCGAAATTCTAATTTTTTAGATTTCTGATGTTAATATAAAATATGATTCTATGATTAAAAGTGCACTCTTGGATTCCTCATATACTTCAAACTCCTCTTCGTCCAGAAAATGTATATATATTTAAAATAGTTATAAAAAACAGTATAACTGTTTACATGACAATTTCAATACAATATTATCTGTATTATCTTAATTTAAAATTTTCCTTAACAGTTGTAAAAATTTCAGTCTACTTTAACAGAGTGTATATATGTCGATTTTTAATTATCTAAAAACTATAAAAGATTGAGCTTTAATAGTTTTTTTTAATATGTGAAACATTCTCTTACGTTCGAGTCTTATTTTATATTTATAGATTTATGAGTTACTAATAATATCCGTTTGAATTCTATCTGAATTTTATACAGAATCTCATTAGTTTTTTATTCCGTGGCATTTGTAGATCAAACATGGTAGTCTGCGAGATCAGTTTTACGAGGCATTTTTCAAAGCTAGAAAAAAAGATCAAATACACTGAACTATACTCTAGATATTCATAAATAAACATATGTTATTGGTAAAAATTTATGATAAATGAAAGTAAAGTTTCCAACTCATAGTGTGAGTATGTTCAGTTATAACCTTAAACATTTAACAGTAAAACTTTTCTATAATTTTTGAGTATATTTAGCCTCTTAATAATAGGACGTGTGCGAGTTAGGCTAAGTTAATGCTAAACCAAATGGGAGATTTTTAGGGATTTTTTGCACTGCACACATTTAGCCATTTATCAACACGTATCGATACATCGCTACATTATCGGCACAACTAAGAATTTCCCTCATTTAGAACGCAACTTAGCCTAACGCGTACACGACCATAATATGAAAGATTTAGGACGTGTGCGAGTTAGGCTAAGTTGATGCTAAACCAAATGGGAGATTTTTTGAGATTTTTTGCACTGCACACATTTAGCAATTTATCAACACGTATCGACACATTACTACATTATCGGCACAACTAAGAATTTCCCTCATTTAGAACGCAACTTAGCCTAACGCGTACACGACCATAATATGATAGATTTAGTAGGTTTAAATTTATGGATATGTAGTACCAAAACCTTAAAGCCATACGTTATTGCTTTATTTTTAGTTCTATGAAAGGCCCATGATAATGATTTATTGACTTTATTTTTCTAAATCAGTTGCTCTATTTGAATTACTTTTAAAAATAATTAAATTGATAATTTAATTTTTCAGGTACATTGAACGGCCCTTGCTCATAAGTGGGAATAAATTTGATTTGCGTTTATACGTATTGGTAACATCAATCAATCCGCTTCGTGTTTATATGCATCAAAATGGATTAGCACGTTTCGCAGCAGGTTAGTAATTAACTGCTTTTAAAAATCAAATAGTTTTTTATTTAATATTATTAATATTAATAATACTTAATATATTAATTCAACTTTTGCAGTCAAATACAGTGTTAAATCGGATACATTGAATGATCGCTGTATGCATTTGACCAACTACAGTATTAATAAGTTTTCTTCTAATTATTCTCGGAACGATGATTTTAACGCTTGTGTTGGACACAAGTGGACACTAAAATCTTTGTGGTCTTATTTGGCTTCTCGTGGCATACGTACTGATTTTCTTTGGGAAGCTTTACGCAGTCTAGTTTTGCGTACTCTTATATCTGCCGAAAATTCGATGAATAACGTCCATAAAATGAATGTGGAGTCAAAATATAGTTGTTTTGAATTATTTGGTTTTGATGTATTGTTAGACTCTGAACTTGTACCATGGCTATTGGAGGTCAACATTTCTCCATCATTGCATTCAGAATTACCATTAGATACACATGTAAAGGCTCCACTAGTTCAAGGTGTGCTTAATACAGCCCTATTTCATGTAAGTCAAGTCACTGATCGTATAAAATATATAAAGTAGAATTTGAAATAATTGTATAATTAAAAAAATCAAATAATTAAAATTGTATATTAATAAACTTATAATATTAGGTACCACCAAGGCTTTCCGCAGACAAGCAGAAAGAGATTGCTCTCGAAATGGAGCTTCCAATGACATCAATTTGTTATGATAAACGCATGTACATTAATTATTTATCACGCGAAGAAAAAATCAAACATAATGTGTTCACCCGAAGAGCTACTGAGGATAGAGAAGATGTAAGTTTTTTATTAAACTTTTTTTTTATTAAGTATAACATTTCTTTTTATATAAAATACATTATTTTATATAAGACATAATATATGAGGCATACTTCCATTCCTTACATGTGGACATATAAAACACATATTGTAAAAGGAGTACATTTTTTAACAGAGTATGTGGTTCTGAAAGTAAACGTGAATAAAATATAAATGTGTGAACGTAAATTCCCACATAGACATTACTCAAGATCATTCAAATATCCCCCACGGTAATTTTCTATTAGTAGTTGGCACAATAATATTAGGCAAGATCATTTAAATATTTATGAGTTCTTTGAAAAATATATAGTTAATCTAAACTCACAGAGCAATTCTGGCAAAGAGCGTTAAAACTCTTGCGTAAGATCCACCGCAAGATCGATTTTAGTTATTCTGGCACAAAGTCTTTCAAAAAAAGTTTTATCATATGTAATTCGTGGTAGCAAGCTGTTTTGTTCTATTTCTTTCGTGGTGAAATCAAAAACAGCTGCTAATCGCTACTGCATCAAGTAAACAATTAAATTTTAATATGAATGTGATGGAAAGCAGCACAAGATGTATGTACTAAAGTGCTGCATCAAAACATTCGTTTTTGCGGTCATTCGTTTTATTTTCAAATGTGTACCATATTTACAAATTATTTCTAAAGCGAATACGAACGAATAACAGAAACGGTCCGATAGAATTCGTTTCCGCCGCATTCGTTTCAATGGAATGGGGGTTGATTTGTTCTCTATAATCGTTTGTTTTGAATTTTAAAATCAAATAAACAAATATTTTAGAGTATTTCAATCACTTTTAGAGTATTTCAATCACTTTTAGAGTATTTCAAATAATTCTATTTTTGCAAAGAAATATTTTATATATTTTGTGTGCGTTTGGTTGCCTGCGCAAAAGTAAAGAAAGTTGGATGTGCGTAGAGATTTGCAATAATTGCAACAACAAAGTACGTAAATTAGGTTTAATTTTCTATTATTTTCAATGCAAAAGTTGTTTAAACAGGTAGATCTAATGCAAAAGGTTAACTTAAAAAAACGGTTTGCGCAGAATTTCCTTCTTTGTCGATAGTTTTTTATGATGTAACAAAATAAATTGCTTCACATATTTACCTTTTCCTGGAAAATAATTTTATGCATGATATGGTAAAAATATCTATTTATGACAAGAGAGATTTTTAGAAATTTCTTAAGAATTCCTTCAGAATTCCTACTTTACAAAGTTTCTTGTAAATTATTTGCAACACCAGCAAGTAGTGCATCTTCGGAAAGGGTTTTTTCAGTTGCTCGGAACTTAATATCAGAAAAAAGAACATTGATTTCATCTAATCAAAGATCTATCAATCAAATCATGTTTTACACAACAATCTTGAAAAAGAGGAATTAAGTCAGACGATGCTCAACATTTAATTTGCATATTAAATTAAATTTGTGAACTGTAAAAACTGTAAAAAAACTTATTATAATTTTTTTAAATAAATTTTTGTTCAAAATTTTTTTTATATTTAATTAATATATTAAGTCATATTATATATGTAATCAACAAATTACTATTATCAATCAACATTTTAAATAATATTTAATTAATAAAAAAACTTAAATAAATAAATTTGGGTCTTACTATTTAAAAACACATAATTTTTGTATGAACTGAAAATCAAATGCTTAGAGTACTCCCAACTACTTCAACTACTTTTAGAATGTTTAGAGTTAGAGTACTCTAAACAAACGAAACAAATATTTATTCTATTCCATTTTGTTTTTATGCCTATACATTCGTATTTGTTCGTTGAGAGTGAGAGTATGCTACCATTCTAAACACAATAGAATGCTTTGAAACTGAAATCAAATGCGCGCGTGCAGTACTCTAATGTGTATGGATTTCTTTTTTTGTTTTTGTTTTAAGGGAATGTGTACGCATTATTTCTTTGTCAATTATGATGTGTGCGTACAATTTGTATGCAATTAATATAATTTTATTTGTAATTAGATTATGCCTAAACTTATGTTTATTTTAATTATTAAATTTATGATATATATGATATATATATATATATATAGATATATATATATATATTACATTAATTTATTTATTTATTATATATTGTTATATATAATATATATATTATATAATACATAATATATAATATATATAATAATATATAATAAATTTATTTATTTTTTATATATTATTATATATATTATATAATACATAATAAATAATATGCATAATAATATATAATAAATAAATAACGAAATGAATAAATTAATTATTAAATTTTAAATATATAAATAATATATATATATTATATATTAATGATTCGTTGTATTTATTTAATCGTAAATAATTTTTTGAGACTGCAAATACCAAGGATCGAACTCTTGCCCTGCCAAATTTGAAGCTCAGAGTCGAACGCTGACATAGCCAACTGATTCATATATTCTTTTTTATGTATAGAATCTAATCTAGGACCTTTGGTACTTGCAGTCTCGAAAAAAAATAAATAAAATTATTTACGAATAATTATATATTAGAAATAATTTCAAGACCTTGATGATGGGTAATTGGCAATACTCGAAATAGGTGTATGGTCACCCAAAAATTCAATTAATTAATATAATAAAAAAAAATAATTTTTGTTGTTGTAGTACTACTTTTCAAAAACCTTTTTACGAGATATATTATTTTCTATTAAATATAATATTAATAAATATAATATTAAATATAATAAAATATAAAATTTAAAATTTTTTATAAAAACAGTATAAAGTATATCAATACAGTTAGAAATAATTGTTATACTTTTACAAATTTTGATTTATTTTTAATTTTTATTATAATTTTTACTTATTTTATTTTACATAAACAAAAGTTTATACACAAAAAAACACAAACAAAATCTTAGATAACAATCGAGAAATCTAATCAATAGCAGTTCTTTTATTTAGTCTTTTAAAAGATCGAAAAGAGCTTTCATCTTGGCAAAAGACTGCTGCCAGAATACGAAAGATCTTTTAAACGATCTTTCTATCGTTCTTTTTGACTACGGTGAGCTGAAAGTTCGTTGCCAGAATTGCCCTGTTTTTATATTTATTATTATTATAATTATATATTATAATTTATTATCTTAAATTATATTTTATTTATAGAGCTATTATTATTTGAAATAAATTTTTTTTTATATGAAATTTTTTAAACTTTTTTAATTTTTTAATTCCATAGTACATTGATGCAATACTTGATAATCTTACGCCAGATGATGTACGCTGTTTAATTGTTGCAGAAGATGAGTTCGCACGTTGTTCCCCACTGGAGCGTATATTTCCTACTTGTGACACCTATAAATATCTCAAGTATACCGAAGGTGCACGATATTATAATCGTTTGCTTGATGCCTGGGAAAATCGCTATGGAAAAAATCGTGCAGAAGGTATTGCATTATTGCGTGATTTTTGTATGGACAATTATCATCTTGAAGTACCGCCATTGCCAGCTAAAAAGGTATTTTTAAATTTACAAACTAAAGTGTATTATATATTTAAAAAAAAAATAGTTTTAAAAACTAATTACATTCATGGCCACATCATAAATTTAAGTACATTTAATACAAGTGAATTTAGGCAATACGTGAAAAATACAATTTTTAAGCAGTTATAAGAAGTAGTTAGTTAAAAAAAATTTAATTAATATATAAATTTCGTTATTTTCTTGGAGGGATGTTGGAGTGCTATACAGTCTTTATATTGGCGCTGTCGTTCGTTACACTATCGTAAGTCGGTATTGTCCTAGATAAATATTGTTCCAACGTAAATTTATATTCATCCAAAAAAATTTATGATTTGCTTTGATAAAGAAAATTTCATATAACAACTATATCTTGTAATTAGAACAAAAGTGGAACAGTAAAGAGAGGAAAAGAGAAAGAACTTATATTGTAAATAATATGGATTTTAATCCTTAAATTATTGCAGTTATTAAAGCAAATAAATTTTAATTATAGAAATTGAAATAAGTTTTTCTATTGGCTAATGTGGTCTTATTTAATTTATAATAAATTAAAATATATGTTTGTTTTTATTTGATATAAATTAAATAATTAATTAATTTAATAAAATATTTATAACAAATTAAAACATATGTTTGTTTTTATTTGTTATAAATTAAATAAGCTGAAATTAGCTAATAATCTAACTGTAGTGTCTAACAGTTAAATTAGACAACAATTAATTATTAAATCAATTAAATTAAAAATTAAATTTTGAAATTGAGGTATTAAAAAAAATAAATTTAATAATAATAAATTATAAATTTAATAAATATAATTTATAAATTGACACTTAAGGGATTTGCCAATTTAGAATATTAAAATAAACTTTTTTTTGGGTATTACAAAAAAAAAATTTTTTTTTAATTAATTACTTATATTAAAATAATTATAATTCACTAATTATAAGTCACTAATTTTTAAATATTACACTATTTACAATTTTATCTTTTTTTTATTTTTATATTAATTTTAAATTTATTGTTGATGATGGCGCTTCTTTGAAAAGAAACAATTTATAATTTTATTTCATTTTTATAACAATTTTTAATTTTAAAAAATTAATTAATTTTTTTTGTAATTTCTTTTTTTTTTTGTGTTGTGTGAACTTCCCTATTCCCCTCCTCATATATTATTTCTATCGATTTTAACTTATCTTTAATCCTTTTATATTTATATTTATATTTTTTTTCTTTTAATTTTATTTTCTTTTTCTATATTTTCAATAATTCGCTTATAATCGTTTATTGGTATTTATTTATTTAATTTTGTAAAATAATTTTTTTTTTATTTGAATAAATGCACTAACAATGTTATTTATGTATATAGTATGTTTATTTAGTAGTATACATATATGTTTGATAACTTCAAATAATTATAATTATAATTATTAACATTATAAGTATCACGAATATGTATGATAATATAGTAACATTATGATACAGGGTGACCAAATTAATCTGCAATTTTGTAGGACACTGTAGTTTTTTTATTTAAGATTCAATTTTATCGAACCAATAGAGAAAAGTGTTTGAAAATATTTCAAATTTTTTTTAATATATACCGAGTTTTCGATATGGTTACCTTAAGCTTACCTTATCATGGATTACCTTATCATCAATGTACTAGATTGTTTTTTACTGAATGTATCTCAATTAAAAGTTTATACTATTTGTACTAATTAAGCATTATATATTTAGGTATAGGTAAAAACCCTAAATAAGAAACATATGCATCTATTTTAAGAAACATTTTTTATACACAATAATGGTGTAAACACCAATGTATGTCACCATCAACCTATGGTACAAAAAAGGTAACTCCTCCTAGTTCCATACAATAGTTTTAATGGTCTACACTAGTTTCAGACCACAAAATTCGTAGTGTGAAAAGTCCATGACTATACTGCATATTTTCAAATTATGTTATATACAATTATATTATTAATTATAACATTTTTTGAATTTATTTATCATATCGATTTATGGTTGTTATATATTTTTCATTATATTCTATATTTCGACTCTCCTTGAGAGTCATCATCAGGTGCACGATCTAACATAAATTAATGTTACTAAAACTATATCTACGTTATCCTCTTTATTTTATCGTCTATATTGCACTTTTTTATTAATATAATATATCTACGCAACGGACCTATGTGCGCGATCTACGTGGAATCCCGCGTATGTCGTGTTTATGCTCAGATATAAACAAGTGCCCGCAGCCAGATATGTACTTCTAGAGGGGCTTTTGAACTACTTTATAAATATAGTCTTTTGTTTCATTTCGTGAGGTGTTTGATCCCTCCCTTGGCTATTTAGGTCTAATAAATAAACCTAATAAGATATTAATATATTTTTTATATATTTTTATTAAAATTTTTAATTTTATATATTTTTAATTGTTAAGAAAGAAAATAGGTTAATCTTAAAAATATAAATAATTTAATAACTTATCACAATATCGTTGTCTCTGTACCTACATATACTGTTATTACATTATGTATAACAGTGTATATAAGTATGCTAAACATTATATTATATTAAATATAAATTAAGTAGTAGGGTATGGGTGCTAAATTTTAAAGTTGTTATATGAATTTTTTTATATAGTTTTTATTTATATAAAAAAATACTTAATTGGAAATTGATTTTTTTTTTGTTGTAAATGATCGTAAAAGTCGTACTCAGAGATTTGCTTGTTTATTAGAAGTACTTAATATAAATAAGTATGATTATATATAAAATAGTTAATATGATAATAATAATATAAAAACAAAAAAATTAGGTAATAAATTAAAATTATATACTAAATTTATATTAATCTAAATAATCACATAATTTGGAATTTAACGTAATTTTTGCAGCAATTGTACTAAACTACATATTAAATATATAGTGGAAATCTTTAATTTATATATATATATATATATATATATATATATATTATTTTGAGTATGTTTTTGGTTAGGTTAATATTAAAATATATGTTAGCTTAAAGTAAAAATTGTATGTAATGCGTTAAAGCTGAAGAATATTTAAATTTAGTTATTTAAAAAAAGTTGGGGTTTGTTTCATAATGTTGTTGTATTGTTTCTCAAATATAGGCGTCAATTACAGTTACTCTATATATTTAGAAAGAATTAATTTAGTTAAATAAACACAAAAAAGTCGGTAAATTTATTTTAAAAGTGATTTAAACTATAGTAATTATTTTATAGACGTATTTGGTAAAATTAATCGTTACATATATATATAAAAAGAACATATATAAAAATGTATTTTATTTTAAAATGGCATGCATACAAGAAAATAACGTTTTAAAAAGATATAATATCATAATTCACATGTATGTCTTTAAAAAATTAAAAACTCATAATTATAAAAAATTATTTTATTTATCAAAAAACATAAACATATCAAGGATAATATGAAAGTAAATAACATATATATTATGATTTTTATTTGTCTCCTTGTTTTCTAATCACATATAAACTTAATTTGCAATATATAATATTGATTATATTGAATAAGAACAGGTTTTAGGAACATGAAACCGTGATATATAATATATTGAACAAGAATAGGTTTTAGAAACATGAAACCGTAATATATAATATATTGAACAAGAATAGGTTTTAGGAACATGAAACCGTGATATATAATATATTGAACAAGAATAGGTTTTAGAAACATGAAACCGTAATATATAATATATTGAACAAGAATAGGTTTTAGGAACATGAAACCGTGATATATAATATATTGAACAAGAATAGGTTTTAGGAACATGAAACCGTAATATATAATATATTGAACAAGAATAGATTTAAGGATAATGAAACTGTAATATATAATATATTGAACAAGAACAGGTTTTAGGAACATGAAACCGTAATAAATAATATCTACTAAATTCTATCAGAAACCAATCGCTTAACTTCATTCCAGTTTTTTCATGAAATCGTAGCTCTGTTTCAATTTGTCTCTTTAATTTGATGAATGTATGCTCGGGTTTTGAGTTTTTTGCTCTCTGGAGAATTGTTATTAACATCTTTAGTAGAACTGCGTAGCAAGTAACTAAACAATTTAAATTTTTGAATCATTATTTCTTTGATAAATAATGGCTGCCTACGTCTAAATTTTAATTTTGTGTTTGGTATAGTATTAAAATATTTCAAAAACGTAACGAAGACTTCGATTAACAAATCGCTATAAGCGTATATATAATATAAAAGTGCAACTTTAACATCGGTGTTAAACAAAGTAATTTTTAAGCAAAGAGTAATTTTCGGAGTTCTCCAGATTTTGTTCTGAATATCAAATATTTGCTTATGCCATTTACGATTGGTAAATTAAGGATTACTTTTTCAATCAAGATTCACTTTTAGTGCAATTTTCATTTTTGATTAATAAATCTTGAGCGAAATGTATAACGCTCGGGATTAATTTATAACACTCTAGTTATTTTGCCAGAGTGGCAAGATTACTCTGAAATTAACAGCTGTTTGTATGACTTGTGGAGATGAAGTGCCTACTAACACAACTGTAAAAATGTTAGATAATTACTCTACATCCATATCTCTATATAAATTAGAGATATTTTTCATGTTTGAGATTTCTAGTTTGAACTTTGATGAGTGCGAGCTATTTAGTTTAGTTATAACTATATTGATTAACATTTAACGATAGTTATATTAACTAATAACGATTTAGTTATACGATTTAGTTTATCTTCTACTTTCGTGGCGGTATCTTTTACCGTTACCGTTCTTCTACATAACCCATATATTAGATTAGTTTATAAAAGGATTGGGATCCATATTAAATGAACCCTGTTCCTTACAGCAAGGTTTTTGAGAATTTAAGGCATTCCCACACTAGTTTTGAGGTTCCTCGGGGTGAGTGTAGTGCTAGGAGCGCTGATTTACTGTCAGAAAAGATATATATGTTTT